CAATGCATTATTTTTAAAAATGAAAAATTTGATGAAGCTTAGAATTCTCACTAATTTTATTCTCAGGTATAGTATCATTTTTCCACTTAAGAAAAGTTAAAGAAAGGAGTAATTTATAACCATGTTATCTTTAGTGTACTAGAAGATAGAAGACATTTTTAAATTAAAAATGAGGGCAGCCCCGGTGGCTCAGCAGTTTAGCGCCGCCTGCAGCCCAGGGCATGATCCTGGAGACCCTGGATCGAGTCCCGCATCAGGCTTTCTCCGTGGAGCCTGCTTCTCCCTCTGCCTGTGTCTCTGCCTCTCTCTCTGTGTGTGTCTCTATGAATAAATAAATAAAATCTTTAAAAAAATTAATTAATTAAAAATGAGAGAAAAGTAATTTCCTTCTTTTGCTTCTGTTTTAATAATTTGTAAAAAAAAATGTCTTTCAAAATTTACCCTTCAATAATTGACAATAACCTGGCATCTGTGCCATCATTTCATTGAGATACTGTTGACAGTGGCAGCTGTAGACTTCATTGATTGTTTTGTTTTGTTTACTGATGACATCTTCTCAAACATGTTAGAAATGTGTGCATGGAGGGAGGGGCAAGATGGCGGAAGAGCAGGGTCCCCAAATCACCTGTCCCCACCAAGTTACCTAGATAACCTTCAAACCATCCTGAAAATCTACGAATTCAGCCTGAGATGTAAAGAGAGACCAGCTGGAATGCTACAGTGAGAAGAGTCCGCGCTTCTATCAAGGTAGGAAGACGGGGAAAAAGAAATAAAGGAACAAAAGGCCTCCGAGGGGGAGGGGCCCCGCGAGGAGCCGGGCTGAGGCCGGGGCGAGTGTCCCCAGGACAGGAGAGCCCCGTCCCGGAGGAGCAGGAGCTGCACCAACCTTCCCGGGCGGGCGGAAAGGGGCTCGCAGGGAGTTGGAGCAGGACCCAGGAGGGCGGGGATGCCCTTGGGCTCCCGGGGACACTGACACCTGCGAGCGCAGGGGAGTGCTCCGAGCTCCCTAAGGGCTGCAGCGCGCACGGCGGGACCGACCGGAGCAGCTCGGAGGGGCTCGGGAGCGGCGCCAGGGAGGGAGCTGCGGGGCGGGAGCGCGAATCCACCAGCGCAGGCCCCGGAGCACAGGGCGCCGGGACACAGCCCAGGATCCGGCCTCCCCCTGGGACAGGCAGAGGCCGGAGGGGCCCAGGACAGCGAGGACGCTCCTGCCCGAGCTGAGCAGATCAGCGGCCCCGCCCCGGAGCCTCCAGGCCCTGCGGACGGAGAGCCGAGAGCCCCGAGCCCCGTAGTTCCTGCGGGGGCTGACTCCAGGCTTCCAGAGTTGCCATAGCAACTGCTGCTGTTCCTCCTGGGGCCCCACGGGGTAAACAACCCCCGCTGAGCCCTGCAGCAGGCTGGGGCAGAGCAGCTCCCCCAAGTGCTAACACCTGAAAATCAGCACAGCAGGCCCCTCCCCCAGAAGACCAGCTAGAGGGACCAGTGATACTCCCCCGTGTTCCAATACAACTTGTTTTTGGCCACTCTGCACTGAGCAAAATGACTAGAAGGAAAACCTCACTTCAAAAGAAAGAATCAGAAACAGCCCTCTTTCCCACAGAGTTACAAAATCTGGATTACACTTCAATGTCAGAAAGCCAATTCAGAAGCACCATTATACAGCTACTGGTGGCTCTAGAAAAAAGCATTAAGGCCTCACGAGACTTCATGACTGCAGAATTTAGATCCAATCAGGCAGAAATTAAAAATCAATTGAATGAGATGCAATCCAAACTAGAAGTCCTAACGACGAGGGTTAACGTGGTGGAAGAACGAGTGAGTGACATAGAAGACAAGTTGATGGCAAAGAGGGAAACTGAGGAAAAAAGAGACAGACAATTAAGGGACCATGAAGACAGATTAAGGCAAATAAATGACAGTCTGAGGAAGAAAAACCTACGTTTAATTGGGGTTCCCGAGGGCGCCGAAAGGGACAGAGGGCCAGAATATGTATTTGAACAAATCCTAGCTGAAAACTTTCCCAATCTGGGAAGGGAAACAGGCATTCAGATCCAGGAAATAGAGAGATCCCCCCTAAAATCAATAAAAACCGTTCAACACCTCGACATCTAATAGTGAAGCTTGCAAATTCCAAAGATAAAGAGAAGATCCTTAAAGCAGCAAGAGACAAGAAGTCCCTGACTTTCATGGGGAGGAATATTAGGGTAACAGCAGACCTCTCCACAGAGACGTGGCAGGCCAGAAAGGGCTGGCAGGATATATTCAGGGTCCTAAATGAGAAGAACATGCAACCAAGAATACTTTATCCAGCAAGGCTCTCATTCAAAATGGAAGGAGAGATAAAGAGCTTCCAAGACAGGCAGGAACTGAAAGAATATGTGACCTCCAAACCAGCTCTGCAAGAAATTTTAAGGGGGACTCTTAAAACTCCCCTTTAAGAAGAAGTTCAAGTAACTCTGAACGTGAATGGGCTTAATGACCCCATCAAAAGGCGCAGAGTTTCAGACTGGATAAAAAAACAGGACCCATCTATTTGCTGTCTACAAGAGACTCATTTTAGACAGAAGGACACCTACAACCTGAAAATAAAAGGTTGGAGAACCATTTACCATTCAAATGGTTCTCAAAATATACCCTAAAAACTACAGAACACTTCTGAAAGAAATTGAGGAAGACACAAAGAGATGGAAAAATATTCCATGCTCATGGATTGGCAGAATTAATATTGTGAAAATGTCAATGTTACCCAGGGCAATTTACACGTATAATGCAATCCCTATCAAAATACCATGGACTTTCTTCAGAGACTTAGAACAAATTATTTTAAGATTTGTGTGGAATCAGAAAAGACCCCAAACAGCCAGGGGAATTTTAAAAAAGAAAACCATATCTGGGGGCATCACAATGCCAGATTTCAGGTTGTACTACAAAGCTGTGTTCATCAAGACAGTGTGGTACTGGCACAAAAACAGACATATAGATCAATGGAACAGAACAGAGAACCCAGAAGTGGACCCTGAACTTTATGCTCAACTAATATACAATAAAGGAGGAAAGACGATCCACTAGAAGAAAGACACTCTCTTCAATAAATGGTGCTGGGAAAATTGGACATCCACATGCAGAAGAATGAAACTGGACCACTCTCATGCACCATACACAAAGATAAACTCAAAATGGATGAAAGATCTAAATGTGAGACAAGATTCCATCAAAATCCCAGAGAAGAACTCAGGCAACACCCTTTTTGAACTTGGCCACAGTAACCGGAGAAGGACAAACAGTGTATGTTCTCATTCATTTGGGGAATATGAATAATAGCGAAAGGGAATATAAGGGAAGGGAGAAGAAATGTGTGAGAAATATCAGAAAGGGAGACAGAACATAAAGACTTCTAACTCTGGGAAATGAACTAGGGGTGGTGGAGGGGGAGGAGGGCGGGGGGTGGGGGTGAATGGGTGACGGGCACTGAGGGGTACACTTGACGGGATGAGCACTGGGTGTTATTCTGTATGTTGGTAAATTGAACACCAATAAAAATTAATTTATAAAAAAAAAAAAATAAAAAAAAATAAAAAAAAAAAAAAAAAAGAAATGTGTGCATGGTTTTTCAAAGTCTTAAAATATAATAGTGATTTTATATAACAGAAAGGTAGGTAATTGTTAAGTAAAAATTCCTTTGAAAGTCTTTATCATTGGAGGAAAAATTGCTAACCTAGTTTTGATTCTAAATATATGGTTAATTTTTTTATAGAATAATTTTCTTAGTTTAGAATTGACTAAAGTTTTGTAAACAAAATCCCAGAACTATGCAGGGCAGAGAAAGGGACACTTATTCTGTGTAGGCATAGATGATCCATTGGAAAGAATGCTGCTTATATTTTTTTCTTTTATTTATTTTTTATTTAATTAATTTATTTATTTATGATAATGAGAGAGAGAGAGAGAGAGGCAGAGACACAGGCAGAGGGAGAAGCAGGCTCCATGCACCGGGAGCCCGATATGGGATTCGATCCCGGGTCTCCAGGATCGTGCCCTGGGCCAAAGGCAGGCGCAAACCGCTGTGCCACCCGGGGATCCCGCTGCTTATATTTTTAAATTCCTGTTAAAATCACTGGCATTGTTGTTATAAGGAATTCCTTGCTAAAGATCCATTAGAATGAGTGTTTTAACACTTCTTAGGAGTAGGTTGTAATTTTTTTTTTTTATTTCTTGGGTCTCTTACAAAAATGAACTCTTAAGGAAGTTCATGTTTTAACTTTGCTTCCCTGATCCTTTCTCAGAGCTATTTGTTTTGCATTTGTGACAATGTTTATGATGCTTCCAAGTAAATTACTTTGTATATTTCTGTAGAAAATAGGATGAGGTACTGAAACATAATGGGAGTACTCAGCCTATTTCACTTCCCTTGTGATTTCTTGTTTGTGTAAAAAAAAAAATGTGTTATTTCCCATAGTAAGTTCAAACACGAATGTTTGGGAAATAATCAGAAGAATTGCAACAAGATGCAGGATGACTCTAAAATTTTGCTGAGGGTAGTGGTGGTGGGAGGAAGTTATTCTCTCTTTCCAGTTACAACTTAATGTCTCTTAGAAATAATACCCCCACGAGACGGGCATTAGGGGAACATTTTTGAGATTTTTCTGAACATATTTTGGTCATTTTTCCATTTTAAGTAGAGGTACAATGATTCTCACAAGATACTATTTTGACCTATGATAGGTCAAAATGTTTATTCTGTTTCTCAGAAGTAGAAAAAATAAATTCTATTTGAAGTGCTTAAATATTAATAGAACATAAGTTGGTTGTGAAAAAAAATATTTTGTATGCTGTTCTGTATATACCTTTGCTATCAATAATTACTCTATAATTTTATAGTTGATAATAGAGTAAGTTTTAAAGAATGCATATTTATTGATTGGCCTAAAATAGCCAATTAACATATTAATATAATTTGGTATAGCTGTGCACTAAATCAGATTGTAATTGTTTTTTAACAGGATGGTGAAGTGGATGCTGAGGAACTTCAGAGATGTTTGACACAGTCTGGAATTAATGGAATTTATTCTCGTGAGATCTTCTTCCCCCATATTTAAAATATTTAAAAAATATTTTATCACAGTTATACATGCACATAATTTAAAGAGTCAAATAGTTCTGCAAAGCTTATTGTGAAAATAGCTGTTCCTTGTGCATAATTATCTCCCAGATGTTGACCACTTATAGAGGAAATCTCATTCATCTTTTACATCTGATGCCTTTGAAATCTGCCTCCAGGTCTCAAAATAGCATGCTTTCATCATTATAGATTTTCAGTTTCAGTGATTAACAATTGATATCCTGCTATGGAAGATGAGAATTAACTCTCTTAGAACTTTAAACTCACTCTTGTCTCCATATGCCACATGGGAATGCTCCCCAGTTCTCCTCCATCCAATATAGCTGTATAGTAATTTTCAGTAGGTCAGTAATCACTATTTGCCTTATTGTCATTATGTGAAGGTTCTTCCTCTGTCTTGTGATAATGTATGATCAATTTTCCTTTTTATATACTGTTTTACTTTTTCTGAAATTAATCATCATTCTAGAGCTTTTTATTGTGGTCTACTTTCTGTGCATAGCTGCAAAGCTATCATTCCTTCACCATCATTCCAGAACTGACTTTCCAAGCTCTTTTGAGTTGGATCTCCCTTTTATTTCATCTCTAGTCATTACAAAAAAAATTCAATGAAGTATAACATTAACCAGCTTCTCAGGAAGAGGGGATCCCTGGGTGGCTCAGTGGATTAGCACCTGCCTTCGGCCCAGGGTGTAATCCTGGAGTCCTGGGATCGAGTCCCACATCGGACTCCCTGCGTGGAGCCTGCTTCTCCATCTGCCTGTCTCTTTCTCTCTCTCACTCTCTCTCTCTCTCTGTATCTCTCATGAATAAAGAAATAAAATCTTTTAAAAACAAACAAACATTCTTAGAGAGTGCACAGGAGGAAAATCTTTTTAGACTTAATATGAAAGTGCTTTCATTTTGTCCACAGAATTAAGTGACCAGATATGGAACTCTGCATTACAGATCATTTTCATCTAGAATTTTAACAATATTGCTCCATTGTTTCTAGCATCCGCTGTTACTTTATCTTTCTGTCCTGCCAGTATGCCAATTTTTTCACTGTGGAGGCTTGTGAGATCTTCTTTTTGTCCCGGGTTTGGAATTTCACAATGTTGTGCCTGGTCGTGTTGTGTGGGAACTCAGTGGGCCTTCTCAGACTGGGAATTAATTTGCTTTAGTTCTGAGACATTTTGTTTAATGATGTTTACTCAATTTTCTCCTTTTGGAATGCTTGTCATTTAGACCAGGACACTTTTTTTATTTTTTTTTCCTCCTATCTCTGGCTGTCCTCTCTGGGGAGATTTTCTCAATCTTATTTTCTAAACCTTCTATTGAGTTTTGTTTTGTTTTGTTTTGTTTTTTATCTGCTATGATGTTCTTAAAATGCAGGAGCTTCTCTTCATGTATATAGTCTTCTCTTGTGTCTATGAAGCTGTATTTTGTATTTTTTGTTAATGTATTTTTGTTGCTATTAATATATTTTTCAAAGTTTTTTTTTCTTTTATCAACTATGTTTCCTTCAAAAGTTCTCCCCCAGTTGTTGGTTGTCTTTTGTGATTGATGCTTTTCTCAGGCATTTGAGATCCTTGGTTGCATGTGTTTAACTAAAATGCAGGTGAGAAGCTTTGAGGTCATGGTTTAGTATTTATTGTAGACTTCCATGTCTGATGGCTTAGCAGGGCAGTTTGTTAGGAAACAACAGTATGTTTAGGGATTTCCTTTTGGGCTAGTTGTCCAGTAGGAAGAGGGTTCTCAGGGTTCTCAGTCATTGATAAACTGTCCCTTAAATGCCTTATTTTTACTAGATAGGCTAAGGTTAGGGCTAGGTTATGTGCCTGATATCCTGCAGTTCAGAGACCTCTCCAGAGAATAAAACTCCAGACTTCTGCTGGGGTGAGACTAGACATGGCAGCCAAATACTGACTTAAGGCAAAGAGTGAATGTGAGTCTCTACTCTTTAAATAGATATTCCTTTGGTCCTTCTGTTTTTATCTTTACATTCACACCAATTTTCAGAAATACTACCAATTCTTAAATGTTTGGGGCCTTCTCTAGGATCGGTAAGCTGCTTCTTAGCTATTCTTATCCTGTGTTCAGCAAACCACTTTCACAGATCGAGGGTTAGGGTTAGACATTAGAGATTAGGAGTTAAGATATGTGCCTGGTATCCTGCAGTTCCCACACCTCTCCAGAGAATAAAGCCTCAGACTTCTGATGTGGTGAGAATTGGCATAGCAACCATATACCAATCTGAAACACGGAGGATTTTGGGGCTCTAAATTCTCTTTAAATAGATATTCAATTGGTCTTTCTGTTTTTATCTCTATCTTCACACTCATTTTCAGAAAATACTGCCAATTTTTAAATGCTTGGGGTCTTCTCTAGGATAAATGGGCTGGTTCTCAGCTTTTCTTATCATGTATTTAGGAAGCCACTTTCTCAGATCTAGGGTTAAAATTAAGGTGAGGCCTAGAGTCAGGGTTAGGGTTAGGGTATATGCCTGGTATCCTACAGTTCAGAGACTTCTTCATCTGGTGGGGGTTAGGGTTTGAGGTTACGTATTAGGAGATTGGGTTTAGGGGTTTGGGTATGTACCTAATATCCTGCAGTTGAGACCTTCCCCACAGTATAAATCCCCAGTTTTGCTGAGGTTAGAATAGACATTGCAGATATCTATGGATCTGAGGCAAGGAGGGGATTTGCTACTCTAAATACTCTCTAAATAGATATTCAGTTGGTCTTTCTGTTTTTATCTCTACTTTCACACCCATTTTCAGAAATACTAGCAATTCTTAAATGTTTGGGGTCTTCTCAAGGATAAGTAGGCTGCTTCTTAGCTTTTCTTATTGTGTGTTCAGAAGCCACTTTTTCAGGTCTAGGGTTAGGGGTAGTGTTAGGGTTAGGGTCAGGATCAGTGTTAGGGTACGTTCCAAATATTTTGCAGTTCAAAGACCTCTCTAGTAGATAGAGTTAGGTTAGGGTTAAGGTTAGTTAGGGTGAGTAGTAGAGTTACCATTTGAGGTTAGGTTAGTGGTTTGGAGCAAAAGGTTTGGGTATGTGCCTGGTAGCTTGTAGTTCAGAGACCTGTAGACAGTAAATCCTCAGACTTATGCTGGGTTGTGAATAGACATGATAGCCATACTGCTGAGGCAGAGAGGGCATTTGGTGCTTTAAATACTCTTTAATTATACAGTCAGTTCCTTTTGTTTTTCTCTCCACCTTCACACCCACTGTCAGAAATACTACCAATTCTTAAATGTTTGGAGACTTCTCCAGGACAAATACGCTGCTTCTCAGCTCTTCTTATAGTGTGTTCAGAAGCCACGTTCTCTGATCTAAGGTTATTGGTCAGGTTAAGGTTAGGATCAGAGTCAGGGTCAGTGTTAAGGTATGTGTTTGGCATCCTTTAGTTGAGACCTCTCCAGAGGTTTGGTGTTTGGATTAGTAGTAGAGTGAGGGATAGCATTATGGTAGAGGTTAGAAGTTAGGGGTTAGAGCTGAAGGGTCCGGGCATGTGTCTGGTATCCCACCGTTCAGAGACATCTCCAGAAAATAAATCCCCAGACTTATGCTATTATGAGAATAGACAGGGAGAGCCATCTACCAAATTTAGGCAAGGAGGGGGTATGAGACTGTAAATGTTAACTCTTTAAATAGATATTCAATTGGTCCTTCTGTTTTTATCTCTACCTTCACACTCATTTTCAGAAATACTACCAACTCTTAAATGTTTGGGGTCTTCTCATGGATAAGTAGGCTGCTTCTTGGCTTTCTTACTGCATATCCAAATTCCACTTTCTCAGATCTAGGGTTAGGGTTAGGGTAGGAGTAAGGACTGGTGTTAGTGTTAGGGTTAGGGGTTGTAGATTACTGGTTAGTAGTTAAGATTAAGGATAGGGTTAGTGTAGATGTCTGGTGTCCTGCAGTTCAGAGACCTGTCCAGAGGGCTAGTGTTGGGATTAAGGTTAGGGTGAATGTTAATATCAGGGTTAGAGTTTAGGGGTACTGGTTATTTTTAGTGGTGAGGGCTTTGGATATGTGTCTAGTATCCTGAAATTTAAGGAATTCTCCAGACAGTAAATCCCTAGATTTCTGTTAGAATAGACATGGCATCCATCTATGGAGCTGAGGCAAGGAGGGAATTTGAGGCTCTACATCCTCTTTAAATAGATGTTCAACTGGTCCTTCTGTTTTTATCTCTACCTTCACACCCATTTTCATATATAATACCAATTCTTAGATGTTTGGTGTCTTCTGGATAAGTAGGCTCCTTTTCAGCTCTTCTTATTGGGTTTTCATCAAGCCACTTTCTCAGGTCTATGTTGGTTAACTTCCATCCATCCTACTACTTTTCCTTTACTTTTTACATAATTCTTTTCCTTTATCTCTCATTCTCTTTTTTTCTAATGGTTTGACTTTAGAAGATTTAATTTTTTGTCCATTGTAATGGGGTATTGGGAGAAATGAAAATCTATTAACTTTCCTAAAAATTCTTCTCTATTCTTTGTCAAAAATATTTAATCTGATATATACATATACTCAATCCTATTTTGTGATGGAAGATATGCTTACTTGAAGACTCAGCACTTGCCATTTGTTATCATATGTTCAGATTTTCCCATGTAATGGATGTGTGCCATGTTAACTTGAAAGCAAAACATATCATTTGCTTTACAAAATGATTGAATGTCAGCCAGAGATTTCTTATGGAAACTTTGCCACCCTCTTCCCACTTGAGTAGTATCCTTATGAAGGAGCTCTGGGCTCCAGTCCTGACTTTTCCACTTATTAGCTCTGGGAACTTGAAAACTTTATTCTGGGCCTCTGTTTCTTCATTTGTAAAACTGGGACTTATAATACTTGCAATTCTTGCAACAACATGTGAAATCACAAAATCATACTACCTGGCTCTTAGTGAATGCTCATGGAATGTCTGTTGAATTGTCCATCTGAAAATACTGTAACCACCTATTCTAATATTGACGCTGTATTAATTTAAAGTTGGCTATTCTCACTTATAAAATGTTTTATGATTTTTTTATTAATAGGCCTAAAATTTAGCTGAAATGTTTTTCATTTATAAAAATTTCAAAATATTTTATCAAAAAATAAGATAACTTAATTTTAAGCATTTTAATTTATTTATGCATTCATTTTTAAGGAGCTACTAGTAAGAACTTTGTAAGCTTAACTAAACTGTATTGACATAATGTCTCTTATCAGGACTGACCTATAATTGGTCTTGAGGCAAATCAGCTTACCAGTTCAATGCAATTATGATAAGGGTTATAAAAATTAAATTCTACTGAGTCTTCAGTTACAGTTCTGTAGATATGAGGTGTTAATGTTCCTAATAACCCATGATTTTAAGATGTTTATATTTACTTTTTTCTTCCTGCCTTTTCCCTCTCCTAAGGGAAAATAGCTGCTTCACATCAGAAGCTCATATTTTTCTTATTTGATTGATTGCAGTAAACTAGCAAATGATTTACCTATATCTGACCTTTTTTTAATTTTTTTTAATTTTTTTATTTATTTATGATAGTCACAGAGAGAGAGAGGGAGAGAGGCAGAGACATAGGCAGAGGGAGAAGCTGGCTCCATGCACCGGGAGCCAGACGTGGGATTCGATCCTGGGTCTCCAGGATCACGCCCTGGGCCAAAGGCAGGCGCTAAACCACTGCGCCACCCAGGGATCTCCCTATATCTTACCTTACTCTGTAGTCTGGTCAATGTGAAAGGATGTTTCTGGAATGAAAATTTAAGAATTGACCCACTGCTTTAAGTCTGTTCCTTAAATTCTTCAGTGACTTCCATTAGTCTAAATCTTTAGGGTGGCATTCAAGATTTTCATGATCTGGCCCTTATCTGCCTTTCAGATGTTATCATAAGCCAGTCCTTCACCTAAGCTTTAATTAAATCTCTAACTCCTTCAGTTCTTGTGATTTTTGTGTATAGGTTAGACTTCTACTTAAAACCTACTTACCATTTATGTTCGGAACACTGAAGCCCTCCTTTCACCTATAAAAGTAATTTTCAGTTATTTTATCATTGTATATCTAACTACCCAAATCCCCTGCCTAGTGTTAGTAGTTTGAAGTAGTTGTGATCTTTATTTTCGTCCTTTTTTCTTCCCCCCAAGGATCCCTAACATTTAAAGTCTGTTGATAAAGGGTGATTGTGTATTTTTGGCAATTTTTAAACATTTTCTTGTATAAAATAGAAATTGTCATAATTTTACATAGATAAAATTGGGCAGACTCCAATTGAAATAATAAATATGTTTTATAGCCTTCAGTTTGGAAACCTGCAGAATTATGATCGCCATGTTGGATGTATCCTTGAATAAAAATAGAATATACTAGAATATGAAATAATTGCTTTCTGAATATAACCAAGCAATTGTTGGCTATAAATGACCATAGTAAATTGGAGACTTTAAAAATACTTTGTAAGATCCTGTTTGAATTCTGTACTTTTCCATTTTTACACAGAAGTCTATTCATATGCTAAACTTGGCTAACTTGCAGAAGCATACTAACAATTTTTTAGTCATGATTTACAGTTTTGGGTCAAGTAAATTCTCTTTGGTATCAAAACTTATTTTTATTAATAAAACTATCAGAGAGATTACACAGGAAAAATGGGATTTAATGAATTCAAAGAACTTTGGGCAGCTCTTAATGCTTGGAAGCAACACTTCATAACTATTGATCAAGACCAAAGTGGCACAGTAGAACATCATGAATTGAATCAAGCCATTGCTGCAATGGGTAAGAATATTAAAATTCTTTAGAATCTATCCAGATCATCTTTGTTCTTTGATGAGATGAATTTTAATTATTAGAGTTTAAGGAATATATTATATCAATTGTTAGCCAATTTGATTTCAAGATTGTAGATATATTCTGACTGATGACATTTAACAAAACCATTTTATCTATGATTTTTCCAAAAGATGATATTTTATACATTGTGGTTGATAAAATAATTTCTAAATTTCATCTGTTGACTTTATTAAAATGTAGTCCCCTAATCATTGGTACTCACCATTTATATTGTATTTTCTGTAACTTAGTAAGATCTCTAGTGTTTATTTAGATATTTTTACCATTTTTTTGAAATATAATTAATATGCAGTATTATATTAGTTTTAGGTGTACAACACTTCTATACAAATCCATATCAGGTGTTCAACCATTCTAGACATTACTCGGTGCTCACCACAAGTATATATACCATCTGTCATACAGTGTATATTATGATTTTGTTGACTGTATTCCATATGTTGTATTTTTCATCTCTGTGATTTTATTTATTTTTTAATTTTTTTATTTTTTAAAAGATTTTATTTATTTATTCATGAGAGACAGAGAGAGAGAGAGAGAGAGAGGCAGAGACACAGGCAGAGGGAGAAGCAGGCTCCATGCAGGGAGCCCGATGTGGGACTCGATCCAGAGACTCCAGGATCATGGCCTGGGTCAAGGCAGGCACTAAACCGCTGAGCCATCCAGGGATCCCCCGACTTCATTTTTTTTTAATTGGAAGTTTGTACCTCTTAATTTCTCCTCTGGCAACCATCAGTTTGCTCTGTGAATTTAAGAGTCCCTTTTTGTTTGTCCCTTTTTTCTTTGTTTTGTTTCTTAAATAGCATACTTAAGTGAAATCATGTCTTTCTCTGACTTATTTCACTTAGTATAATACTCTATATATGTGCATCCATGTTATTGTAAATAGCAAGATCTCATATTTTTTTATGGCTGAGTGATATTTCATTGTGTATATACCACATCTTTTTTTTATCCACTTAGTTGTTGATGGACACTCTGGTTGCTTCCATAATTTGGTTATTGTAAATAGTGCCTCAATAAACATAGGACTGCATATATCTTTTTAAATTACTGTCTTGCTTTTCTTTGGGTAAGTACGCAGCAATGGAATTACTGGATCAAAGGATAGTTCTGTTTTTAATTTTTTGAAGAATCTCCATACTGTTTCTACAGTGGTTGCACCAGTTTACATTCCTGCCAATACTGCAGGAAGGTTTCTTTTTCTCCACATCCTCACCAATACTTTTTAGTCCTTGTCTTTTTGATTTTAGCCATTATGACAGTTGCAAGTGGGGTTGTCTCTCATTGTGGATTTGAATTTCCCTGATGATGAGTGATGTTGAGTATCTTTTTGTGTGTCTGTTGGTCATCTGTCATTGTGTTTTTTTTTTTTTTTTAAGATTTTATTTATTGAGAGAGAGAGAGAGAGAAAGCATGAGCAGGGGCAGAGGGAGAAGTAGACTCTCCACTGAGCAGGAGGCCTGATGTGGGGCTCTATCCCAGGACCTTGGGATAATGACCTGAGCTGAAGGCAGACACTTAATAATCTGAGCCACCCAGGTGCCCCTATCTGTTTGTCTTCTTTGGAAATATGTCTCTTTGGGTCCTCTGCCCATATTTAATTGGATTATTTGGAGTTTTTGGTATTGAGTTGTATAAGCTCATTATATTTGGATATTAATCCCTTGTGGGATATGTGATTTGCAAATATCTTCTCCCATTCATTCAGTAGGTTGCCTTTTCATTTTGTTAAAGGTCTCCTTCACTGTGTAAAAGCTTTTTATTTTGGTGTAGTCCCAGTGATTTGTTTTTGCTTTTGTTTCCCTTGTCTCAGGAGACCTATCTAGAAAAATGTTGCTTCAGCCAATGTTAAATTACTGCCTGTTTTCTCCTAGGAGTTTTATGGTTTCAGGTCTCACTTTAGTTTTTTAATCTATTTTTTGTAAAGAGATTTATTTATTTATTTTAGAGAGAGGGAGGGGCCAAAGGAGAGGAAGCGGTAGATAAGCCCTCTGAGGGGTTTCCTCCCTGAACTCAGAGCCTGATGGTGCTCGATGCCACACCCTGAGATCATAACCTGAGCCAAAATCAAGAGTTGGATGCTCAATCGACTGAGCCACCCAGATTCCCCACTTCTTTAAATCGATTTTGAGTTCATTTCTGTGTATAGTATAAGAAACTAGTCGAATTTCATTCTTTTGCATGCAGCTGTTCAGTTTTCCCAACATCATTTGTTGAAGAGACTCTTCCCCATTATATATTCTTGCCTCCTTTGTCATAAATTAATTGACCACATAAGTCTCAGTTTATTTCTGGGCTCTCTGTTCTGTTCGATTGATATTTGTGTTTGTTTTTGTGCCAGTACCACATTGTTTTGATTACTGCAGCTCTAGTATGTCTTGAAATCTGAAATTGTGATACCTCCTGTTTTGTCCTTCTTTCTCAGAATTACTTTGGCAATTTGGGGTCTTCTGTAGTCCCATACAAATTTTAGTATCACTTGTTCTAGTTCTGTGATAAATGCCATTGATCTTTTATAAGGATTGTATCGAATGTCTAGATTGTTTAGGATAATATGGACATTTTAACAATACTGGTTTTTCCAAGCCAGGAGCATGGAATATCTTTCATTTGTGATAAGAGCTCTAATTTGATAGCAAAGGCTTATTTCAGTATGTTATGCTCCATATTATAGTCTAGCTTTTCAACAGTAAAAACATGTTTTCTAAATTTTCTTTCTTACGTAATTAGTATACACAGTATATAACAAATACCTCAGAATGGGAAGTCTGCATTTTAGAGTATTTTAAAAGAATGTAACTTTAATTTTATTCTATCTTTGGTATGCTAAGGTTCACTGTCTATTTTCTTTCAAACATAGTAACATAAAATGATATTTAACCTATTTTTACAGTTCATGCAATTTTAAGTAGTTTTCTTAATTTTGTTTACCTCTATGATTTTACTTACACTCATTTCTAAACAAAATACATTTAAAGAAAATTAACCTTTTGAGAGTTAAAATCTGAACACAGTGTACATTATCTTAAATTCCAATTTAAAGAAATTAAAACTAGTGACTTGTTTTGTAAATAGACATTTTAATTTAATAGGTGGTAGTTTTGGGGACAATCCTAGCCACATCATATGTAGTTCAGTCAGAGTATTAATACCTAATGGATTAAACTTGACCCTTAACTCAACATAGTGTTGAAAATTAATATAACCTTTTACAAAAAAGAAAACCGCTAGAGTTCACATAGAGAGTTGCATGCCACAAAGAAGAATTGCGGATTATTCAAATTTAAGATCTTCAGATATATTTTAAAATATTCAAATTATTTTGCCAAGGATGCTATAGGAAATCCTAAGATTTTTTATTACCACATCAGGATCATAACTTCCTACGAGGGAGCTTAAAAAATATTTGCATATAATTACATTCATTTGCATATTTTACTTCTATTAAATTATACCTTTCCTTTTATTTATTTTTAACAAGTTTCTGGGTTATATTTTATTGTAGCCACATAATGAATTTCTCTACATTTATTATTGTTTTTCCCTTTGAATAGATTTTTGTCTTTTTGGGGCGCCTGAGTAGCTCAGTCAGTTAAGCATCCGACTTGACTTTGGCTTAGGTCATAATTTCAAGGTCATGAGATTGAGCCCCGTGTTGCATCAGGGCTCCAAGCTGGGTGTGGAGCCTGCTTAAGATTCTCTCTTTTCCTCTCTCTCTGCCCCTCTCCCTCAGTTTATGTGCTATTGCTCTGTGTCTCTCCAAAAAAAAAAAAAAAAAAAAAAAAAAAAAAAAGATTAGTGTCTTCTGTCCAAATCTAATCCAGTAATATATAAAGATAATAATTCTGGCTCAGCACCCTTCACAGTAAACTATACATATATTTGAAAGCTGCTAAAAGTAGATCTTAAAAGTTTTCATAATAAGAGGAGAAAATTCTGTAACTATATAGGGTAAAGATGTTAACTACACTTATTATAATAATCATTTTGCAATACAATTATGGAATCATTATGTTGTACATCTGAAACTAATATAATTTTATATGCCAATTATACCTCAATGAAAAATTAAAAAGAAAAAAGGAAATACAAAATTTAAATGATAGAAAAGATCTGTAATAATATTTTCTCTAATATTCTTTAAAGAAGTCTCAAATTACAGAACTGAAATATTGAAGCATTAAAACCTATAAGATACTTGACATTATTTAAAAATCAAAATATATTTTAAATATGCAAAAATGTAATTGCTTTCTTAGCTTTGACTTCATTACAAAGTTAGACTGGTGATACTAGCAAGACAAAGGAGGCAAGAATGTATAATGGGGAAGAGTCTCTTCAACAAATGATGTTGGGAAAACTGAACAGCTGCATGCAAAAGAATGAAATGAAATTCGACTAGTTTCTTATACACAGAAATGAACTCAAAATGGATTTGCCCATTTTATTACTTTATTAGTAATAAGTCTTTGCTTGATAGATTTTAATGTGAATATATTTGGTTTCTAGTATATATTTTTGTGGAATGAATTTGGGAAATTTATTTTACAATTGTTTTTAAGGAAAATGCAATGTTGTGTTCTTATGGTGTTTGGTTTTAGAAATTTTAATGTATAAATTCCTTTTTCTAGGTTACAGATTGAGTCCTCAAACATTAACTGCTATTGTTAAACGGTACAGCAAAAATGGCCGAATCTTCTTTGATGATTATGTTGCTTGCTGTGTGAAGCTTCGAGCATTGACAGGTATTGATCATTTTAAAAATAGATGCAGTATTGTGTAGCTGTTTTTCTGAATATCTCTCATTTTATTCAACTTTTTGATAATAATGTATTTTTTACTTTTATTCACTATTAAATCTAATCACTGTTAAGGCTTTAAAAATTTAGTAATATGAATAGTGAAAATTTGTTATAGCTCAGTTTTGGAAAGTTTTCTTCATGTGTCAGTCCCCAGGATATGAAATCACTTGATTTAATTGAGAATGAAGAGAGAGAGGGAAGATGGCAGGGGAGTAGGAGAACCGTAGGTTTGTCTCTTCCTATAAACACACCTAGATAACTAACAGATCATCCTATATAGTCCAGAAATTAGCAGAAGATTGGTAAAGGAGGAGACACAACTAAAGGGGAGAAGAGGCCCCATTAAAGAAGGTAGAAAGGGCAGAGATGTATTTTAGGGGAGAAACAGATCATGGGTGCTACAGAGAGGTAGAAGCTATGCTCAGGGAAAAGGGTAAGAGAGGAACACCCAGGAATGCACAAGAATATTTCCCCAAAGCCATTGGCTTGGAAAATGAGAGGGGCTCAATTTTGTGAGTTCTTGCAATCAGTGGGGCTTAAAGCCCAGACTTTAAAGTCCTTGTGCTTGGTTAGAATAGAGCCCAGAGGGCAGACAGCTTGGAAACAATGATCTGAAGAATGCTTGGAGCACACCAGGGAGAGTATTCACTCTTCTAAGAGCATGTCCCTGAGAGGCAGTGTTCATGGAGATACCTCTCCGGAACAGAGGAACTGGCTGGTGTCATTTCCCTCTCCCACCCCCTTAGCATAAATACAGAGCCACCTGCAAGAAGCAGTTCAACACTGATACTGGCTGCCTAACTTGTTTGTAGCAAACCTCTGCACTCTGACAGGACTGCTTTCTCAGTCAAACTTGACTCAGTCCCAGCATGGCGGGCTTTTCCCCCAGAAGACCAGCACAATCCCCTGCCCACACCATGTCTCAACAAGAGTTCTGTAGAGCCTCAGTTCTGGTGCAGCTGGTGTTAGGTCTTATTTAATAAGGAGACCAGTGGACACCTAGGTAAAACTTGCCACATTCTGGCCAAGGACGGAACACTGCCCACAGCAGATGAGTAGAGCCTCTGTGGATGGCTAGCCTAAAGGACAGACCAGCCAAAATATAAGAGCAGAGCATACACTGCACATACCAGAGACATTCCCTAAAGTGCCAGGCCCTGGACACTACATGACCTATTCTTCATAAAGCTACTACTGCCAGGAGCAGGTGCCATAACTGTCTTTTCTAACACATAGAAAAAGGTAAGAGACTTAGACAAAATGCCAGGATGGAGGAATTTATCCTAAATGAAAGAACAAGATAAGGCTATGGCCAAAGATCCAAGCAAAACAGATGTAAATAACATTCCTAATGGTGAATTTAAAGAAACTTAAGTATACTCACTGGGCTTGAGAAAAGAATAGAAAAAAAAAAAAAAAAAAAAAAAACATCAGTGAGACCTTTACCATGGAGATAAAAGAGTTAAAAAAGAATCAACTAGAGATAAAGAATGCAATAAATGAGATTGGAAACAGGCTTAATGTAATGAAAAGCAGGCTGGAAGAAGCAGAGGAATAAATTAGGGACCTAGAAGACAAAATAATGAAAAATGATGAAGCTGAACAAGAGAGAGAAAAATTATGGAATATGAGAATAGACTTAGGGAATTCAGTGACTCCATAAAATATAATAACATTCATATTACTGGAGTTCCAGAAGAAGAAAGGAAAGAAAAGGCAGCAGAAAATTTATTTGAAAAAAAAAAAAAAAAACTTCTTTAATCTGGAGAGGGAAACAGACATCCAGATGCAAGAGGCACAGAAGATGCCTTCAAAAATCAAGAAAAGCAGACCACACCAAACCTATTATAATTAAATTTGCAAAACATAAGTGATAAAGAAAAAATCTTAAAAGCAGCAAAACAAAAGAAGTCCTTAACTTGATAAGGGAAGACCCAAAGGTTAACTGGAGATTTCTCAGATGAAACTTGGCAGGCCAGAAGAGAATGGCATGATTTATTCAAGATGGTGAATGGGAAAAATCCATAGCTAAGAATAGTGTATCCAGCAAGGCTATTATTCAGAATAGAAGGAGAGTTTCTCAAACAAAAACTAAAGGAGTTCGTGACCACTAAACCATCCCTACAATATTATTAAAGAGGACTCTGAGTGCAGCAGAGAGACCAAAAGTGAGAAAGACAAGAAAGGATCAGAGAAAATCTGCAGAAACAATGACAAAGTAAGTAATAAAATGGCACTAACTACTATCTATCAATAAATATTTTGAATGTAAATGGACTAAGTACTCCTATCAAAAGACATAGGGATCAGAATGGGTAAAAAAAATAATAACCATTTACATGCTGCCTATAGGAGACTCATTTTAGATCTAAAGACACTTGAAGATTGAAAGTGACGAGATGAAGAAATATTTATCACATAAAAGGAAGTCAAAAGAAAGACAGAGTAGCAATACTTCTATCAGACAAACCAGACTTTAAAGAAAAGACTGTAACGAGATAGAGAGCACTATATCATAATTAAAGGGGACAATCCAGTAAGGAGATCTACCAACTGTAAATATTTATGCACCCAGCATGAGAGTACCCAAATATATCAAACAATAACAAACATAAAGGAACTAATTGATAATAATACAATAATAGCAGGGAACATCAACAGCCCACTTGATCAATGGCCAGATTATCTAAACAGAAAGGAAACAATGTCTGAATGACACCTTGAACCAGATGACTTAACAGATATATTCAGAACATTCCATCCTAAAACAGCATAATATACATTCTTTTCAAGTACATGTGGAACATTCTCTAGAATGGATCACATGTTAGGTCACAAATCAGGCCTCAACAAATATAAAAAGATTGAAATCTTACCATGCATCTTTTCTGATCACAACACTAAGAAACTAGAAGTCAGCCATAAGACAAAATTTGGAAAGACCATAAATACATGGAAGTTAACATGGTACTAAACAATGAATGCATCAGCCAGGAAATCAAAGAAGAAATAAAATACAGGGACACAAATGAAAATGCAAATACAATGGTTCAAAACTTTTGGGATGCAGCAAAAGTGGTCCTAAAGGGGAAGTATATGGAATACAAGCCTACCTCAAGCAGCAAGAGAAATCTCAAACAACCTAATCTTAGACCTAAAGGAGCTAGAAAAAGAACAATAAAAGAAATCCAAAGCCAGCAGATGGAAGGAAATAATTAAGATTAGAGTGGAAATAAGTGATATAGAATCTAAAAAATCAGTAGAACAGATCAATGAAATCAGGAACTCGTTCTTCAAAAAAATTAATAAAATTGATAAACCTCTAGCCAAATTTATCAAAAAAAAAAAAAGAGAAAGGACCTAAATAAATAAAACTACAAAAGAGGAAAAATAACAACCAACAACACAAAAACACAAACTCATTATAAGGGAATATTATGAAAACCTATATGTCAACAAATTGGACAACCTGGAAGAAATGGAAAAATTCCTAGACATATATAAACTACCAAAACTGAACCAGAAAGAAATAGAAAACTTGAATAGACTGATAACCAGCAAAAATATTGAATCTGTAATAAAAAACAAACAAAAGTCTAGGATCAGGTGGCTTCTTCATAGGTAAATGCCACCAAACATTTAAAGAAGAGTTAATACCTATTTTACTCAAACTATTTCAAAAAATAGAAAAGGAAAGAAAACTTCCAGTACTTCAGCAGTACCCTACTACCAAAACAGATAAAGACTCACCTAAAACCCTAAAAAAAAAAAAAAAAAAAGAAAAAGAACTGCAGGTAATGTCTCTGAAGAACATAGACACAAGAATCCTCAATAAAATATTAGCAAACTAAATCTAATAGTACATTAAAAGAATAATTCACTATGATCAAGTGGGATTTATTCCTGGTTTGCAAGGGTGGTTCATTATTTGCAAATCAATCATCATGATATACCATGATACACATTGATAAAAGAAAGGATAAGAACCATATGATCATTTCAATAGATGCAGAAAAAGCATTTAACAAAGTACAACATCAATTCATGATAAAAAACTCTCAACAAAGTAGGCTTAGAGGAAACATACCTCAGTATAATAAAGGCCATATATGAAAACCCACAGCTAATACCATCCTCAACTGAGGAGCTTTTCAGTTCTCAGATCAGGAACAAGACAGGGATGTCCACCCTTACCACTGTTATTACATATATTACTGGAAGTTCTAGCAAGCAGTCAGACAACGAAAAGAAGTAAAAGGCAACCAGATCAGCAAGGAGGAAGGCACACTTTCACTATTTGCAGATAACATGGTACTCTATATGGAAAACATATAAGATTCCACCAAAAAATTGCTAGAACTGATACACAAATTTGATGATACAAAATCAATGTACAGAAATCTGTTGCATTCCTATGTACCAATAATGAAGCAGCAGAAAGAGAAATTAAGGAATCAGTTCCATTTACAGTTGCACCAAAAACAATAAGATACCTAGGAATAAACTATCCAAGGAGGTGAAACACCTGTATTCTGGAAACTATAAAACACCATGAAAGAAATTGGTAAGAAATGGAAGGACATTCCATGCTTGTGGATTGGAAGAACAGATGTTGTTAAATTGTCTAGACTACCAAAGCAGTCTACACTTTTAATGCAATCAGTATCAAAATACCAACAGCATTTTTCACAGAGCTAGAACAAACAATCCTAAAAATTCCATAAAGGAACACAAAAGACTCGAATAGCCAAAGCAACCTTAAAAAAGAAAAACAAAGGTGGAGGCATCACAGTTCCGGACTCATGTTATATTACATAGCTGTAGTAATCAAAACAGTATGGTGCTGGGATGCCTGGGTGGCTTAGCAGTTGAGCATCTGCCTTTGGCTTAGCATGATCCCAGAGTTCCAGGATCGAGTCCCGCATCTGGCTCCTGCAGGGAGCCTGCTTCTCCCTCTGCCTATGTCTCTGCCTCTTTCTCTGTGTCTCTCATGAATAAACAAATAAATCTTTAAAACAAAAAACAGTATGGTGCTGGCACAAAAATAGACCCCTAGATCAATGGAACAGAATAGAAAACCCAAAAATGAACCCACAACTTGTGGTAAGTTAATCTTTGACAAAGCAAGAAGGAATATCCAATGAGAAAGTCTCTTCAACAGATGGTGTTGGGAAAACTGTATAGCAACAAGCAAAATAAAGAAACTAGACCATTTTCTTACACCATACACAAAAATAAATTTAAAATGAATTAAAGACCTAAATGTGAGACTTGAAACTATAGCAGTCCTAGAGGAGAACATAGGCAGTAACCTCTTTGACCTCAGCTGTAGCAATTTCTTTCCAGATAGGTCTCCTGAGGCAAGGAAAACAAAAGCAAAAATAAACTATTGGGATTTCATCAAAATAGAATGCTTCTACACAGTGAAGTAAACAATCAACAAAACTAAAAGGCAGTCTACAGGATGGGAGAAGATATTTGCAAATGACATATTTGATAAAGGGTTAGTATCCAAAATATATAAAGAACTTATAAAACTCAACACCCAAAAAACAAATAAATAATCCAATTAAAAAGTGGGCAGGAGACATGAATAGACATTTTTGCAGAGACATCCAGATGGCTAACAGACACATGAGAAAATGCTCAACATCACTGGGAAAGACAAATCAAAACTATAATGCATTAATCACCTCACACCTGTCAGAATGGCTAAAATCAGCAACACAAGAAACACAGATGTTGGTGAAGATGTGGAGAAAAACCCTTTTGGTGGGAATGCAAACTGGTACAGCCAGTATGGAACACAGTATGAAGTTCCTCAAAAGGTTAAAAATAGAACTGCTGTGCCATCCAGCAATTGCACTACCAGGTAGTTAGCCAATGAATGCAAAAATACTAATTCGAAGGGATACATTCACCCTGATGCTAGTAAAAGCATTATCTACAATAGCCAAATCATGGAAACAGCCCAAGTATCCATCAATTGATGAACTGATAAAGAAGATGTGGTGTATATAAACAGTGGAATATTACTCAGCCATAAAAAGGAATGAACTCTTGCGATTTGCAATGACATGGATGGAGCTAGAGTATTAAGCTAAGTGAAATAAGTCAAGAAAAGGATATGCCATATGATTTCACTCTTGGGAAATTTAAGAAACAGACTTTTAACTATAGAGAATAAACTGATAGTTACCAGAGGGGAGATGAGTGAGGGGGATGGGGATTAAGGAATGCACTTGTCATGATGTGCGTACTTGGTGATGGAATTGTTGACTCATGATATTGTATACCCAGAACTAATATTATGCTATGTGGAATTTAAATAACCTTTTGGGTATGATATTAGTCATTTTTTTTGGTGCTTAGGGATATCAAGTATTTGAAACTATATACTTAAGATTTTAATATTTTTTGTTTGTTTGAAGATTTCTTTAGAAGAAGAGACCACTTGCAACAAGGGGTTGTGAATTTTGTATATGACGATGTAAGTATTCTGATATTTACACTGTGTCAAAAAATTTAAGTGATCCCTAGTATCAGTACTGGGAATAATATATTTTATAGACCATATTCTTTTTCTGTATTTTTCAGCTAACTGCATATATGATCCAGTATTTATACAAATACCAACTTGACAAAATTATTTATTTATTTATTTATTTATTTATTTATTTATTTATTTATTTATTTATTTTTTCCCAACTTGACCATTTTAAATTTTATGATGTGTTTTTGGCAGTTTATCTTTCAAATTATTTTTGAGGGCAAACCGACCATTATTTTTATAAAGAGTTATTTACCTTTGGTGATCTTTAAGAGAGAAGAAATTTTCATCTATGATTATGATGCTGTTCATTTCTTCCTTCATTTCTCATTTCATATGGTTGTAATTAGCCTGATTTTAATTAAAACTATAGGAGAATTATATTTCACGTGTACATCAATATTTCGGGGGTTTTGTTTTGTTTTTGTTATAGGGGAGTTAGAGGGTCAGCATTTCCCTCATTTCCCTACTGGTATATCCTGATTTAAACTGCAAGCCTTGGAAACACTTAAAACTTCCCCTCTTGTGAAAATGCTTTTATGGAATGTAATTAATCAAAAACAAAAACCATTTTATTGCCACCAGCTGATGATTTTTCCTATATTAGTTTTTGCAGGGTACTATGGCAATTTGAACGTCTAGAATTTGAAAGCTGAAGAAACACTGTGAACTTTTTTTACTTGGAAGAAACTAACTGGACTACTTTGAATTTGAAGCTCTTGGGGCTTTTCTGTGTTTCTCCCTTTTACATCTGTTCCCTTTCTATGTATTTATCCTTTGGTGCATAATTCAGAGCAATAAAAGAAGCATTTTTGTATTTGGAACATTAATTGCTTTTAGGAAAGTTATCCCTTAACAGATATCTGTATAGCATAAAATATTGGTATATGATGAATTGATGTAAATAACTTTTAACCTTAATTTTTAACATTGTTAGCCCAGAAGACTGTACTTACAAGACAGAGTATATAAGAAGTCAAATAACGAAAGCTGGATAAAGCTAGTGTATACTTACCTGAAGGTTACAAATTATACTTTGAAATTTTGTTTGTAGTCCTTGGTGTTCAAGGTGAACTAGAAGGAGAAGACTAGATTTTGTGCCATATTTGTGGAAGAATTTATTCCTTGATCACACAATTCAAGAAGAGAAACTCGCTAGTCTTTGTCTATGAAGAGAGAAGGTTGCTGAAATTTTATGTTACAGCACCTTAGGTGCACCATGAATTAATCTGTAGAAATAAGGCTACAGGAGGCATTTTTTCCCCTTGGCTTTTGTCAGTGCAGATTTTTATTCAATATATTTTTTTTGTCTTCTGTGGAAAAGAAGTTCTTGATACACATACCTTTTATGGCTGCCCTTTTTCCATCAGTGACAACGTAGATGGCCTAAAATGGCATCTTCCTTTTAAAGCTAGACTTTCTGGAAGGGATACTTATTTCTAATGAAGTGTCAACATTTCAATGTATTCTCTTAAGCTAAATTATTTTATACATAATGCCAACTGTTAACAAAGTTAAAAAAAGTCAAGTAATCTACCACTTTGTTTAAATGTTCGGAAATTGGAAGTTTTACTTTTCAACATTAGTTGCGAGCTCACCATTAGCATTGGTAAACTGGTAAGACGTTGAGTGCAGGTGTGTAATGTGGGGGTACTGACCACTGCAGCCGCAGCCTATTTCTGTGGTATTACTGTGGAAGTTGCAAAGTGGTCATCAGATCCATAGCATTTAAGATCCCCTTGTGAGCTGTTGTAATTAATGAGCTGCCTTCCTGGCAAACATTCTTAGTCTTTTTTTTTTTTTTTTTTTTAACATTCTTAGTCTTAGTTAAGATTTTAGAAACCGTGTATTTTTCTTCCACTTTAACTGAATTTCTTCTGGCTTCAAACGTGAGTACAAATTGACATGATTTTAGTATGACCGGTGACCAAAATAATTATGCTTTTTATAAAATTCTGTTTCTTAAAGGGTGGAGGATGAATGGCAGTATCTTAAAAGAAAACTTTATAAACTTACAGAATTTTACATCAACTTTTAACAGTCCTGGAAAGGAAGAATTGGATAGTCATTTTGACGTTGTAATTTTAAATAATTAGCTGCTATATTCATTTGGTCAGCAGTATAAAAATGTGTGGCTAAATAAACCATCTACTTTTATCCCCTGGCTGTTAGTTTTTTTTCCACGAACATATATTTGATAATTGGAGAGGATGTTAACTGAGCCATAAACAAAATAACAGGATTTGAATTAGAAGTCTTGTTGGAAAAAACGAATATAAATGTGCTCATATCATTCATGTTGAATAAGGGTGATAATATGACTCAACAGCCTGGGATCTTAACATCCAACTTATAGGTAATCTAGTCATTGTACTGCTCTGAGGTCTGCTGTACTTTCTCTTATTTGGAGGCTAACAGTTGAGACGAAACTTTAAAAATGATATATGGTATTATTCATATAAGTTTTTGCCAAACACTTTGTATTAGAACTTTCTATATGATTCTCTAACATCCTTTTCTAAAGGTGTTCCTACGAATTTTGGTCACAGGAATTCTGTGAAGTAGTTTTGATGATCAGACATATTTGGGAAATTTTCATCCTTTTCAGGGAGCTTGATAAAGCCTGAGGTACATAAAATCCTGTCTACTTTTACTTGACCCGGTTTTTCCAAACTTTTTTTGACCACAGAACTCCTTTCTCTAGCAAAACTGATTCTCTATGCCAATCCCACTTAATTATCAGTTCTTTTGTGCTTTCCATTAAATAGATAATCTTACCAAACATTAGGCATTATTTTACTTGGATTTTTATACAAATGAAATGCAGTTCACTTTTTGATGCTCTAAAGATAATTGATGTAAACAGACATCCATCACTAAAGTAAAAATTACATAGTCTGATGATGAACAATGACTGGAATATGAATATAGTGTGGTGGTTTGTACTGTTTAACTCACACCCAGTTTTCTTGTAATGATGTAAATTATTGAATAATGTCCACTCTTAACATCTAAGTGCTTTTATTTATACAGTAAACATGTTTCCATGTCATTTTGAGAATTTTTTAATAAACATTCAAATAGCTTGCTGTAAAGTTTTGTATCATACAAAATCTGTTACATATATGAGATGCTTCAGTTCAAATAACAGTGCAGTAATTCGCCTATGCCTAAAACACTGCCAAATGATTAAATGTCAGGTATTGCACTTCTATTTTGAGTGGCAGTTTACACATGTTAAATTACATCAAGGGGAAATCAATACTATTGGAATCTTAATTTGGTCCACTTTAAGTGTAATTTCAAGGACGGTGCTCATTTGATCTATTTAGGCATGCATTCAGAAACAAAAAGTAATTTAAAAATGTCAAACAATATGTTTATTTCCAGAAAAGGTATTCACCCTGGAAGAAAGTAGAATTTATTAATGTAGTTGAAAGTCTGTGCAATTTAAAAAGTGACAAAAAATCAATTTAAGTAAAATATACAAATCAAGTTCACTGTACTCTTCTGGCATTACTAAACTGGACAAACTAAATACATACTGTTTGTCAGAAATGTGCTTTTCTTTTGTCATTTTATGTTTGACAGATTCATAGATGATATGTTTTCTCCTATTTGTAACACTTTTCTGGGAACTTAGTAGGAATACATTTGTGAAAGTCTGATAATTATATTTAGTGAGTAAAAATCCAAGACTGCTTTCAGCTTAGGATTTTTTTCTCTTAAATGTTAAAATACAACCACAGGTATTTTAGTACTTTGAAACTTGTATTTAAAAATCACATTTTTTTTTTGGTCTTGTAAGCACTTTGAAATAAATGTACTATGCTAAGCTATCACCTAAGAATATGTCTAGACTTTATAATAAAATTAGATGATACAAAGAAAAAACCAAATATTTAGAGCTTCTGGTATAGTGATGAATGCAGAGAGGATTTTAAACGAATATTGTTTAGGCAATTTGTAGACTAGAATAAGGTTATAACATCACATATGTCCATATATTAAGTTAATTTTTTCCTGTAATTTAGAAAACTGAGCACAAAACTACTTTCCAGCAAAACACTAGGATACTTAATGAAAAATTTCTGACTCACTATCAACTCATTATTTGGATGCTGGGAAGTCTGTGCTTTTAAGTGTTTCTTGCCATGTCTTTTTCTACTTGTTTTAAAAAACATATTTTACTGGCATATGAAGAAAAGAACCTTATATTACTTAGCATTCCTTTTACCCAGGTAGCTTGGTAATTTGCAGCTTTGTGTATTATTTTGCGAGCATTCAAAACTCAAATGTGCTTTTGTGTATCTGGATATATAGCAACTAGACATTGGCAGCACTCCTACATTACTATGATGTGCCATACAGTTAGGGGATGAAGAGGGTCCTTGCCGATGTGCTACTTTTATTTCCAGGTGTGCCCCTTCCACAATGTCAGAGATGCTGGCCATTTGGAAAGCTTACAGAAAATGAGAATTGGGCTATGTCATTTAATAGCTATATTCAGAGACAAGTATGCCAGGAATTAGTACCTTCAGATACATTGTATGCGTGTGTGTGTGTGTGGGGGGGGGTGTCCCAACCTTTTCCCTTAAGCATGAAAATATGTACTTTATAGATACACGCAGTCATTGGAATTTTAGCTGGCTGTATTTAATCACTTATCTTGGTGTGATCACTGGAATTTCAGAGGGTAACCTGAACAGGTATGAATGTTCCAGAAACATACTAAATAAAGATCCATATTCTTTTGAAAATGATAGGCCATTTAAAAAAAAATTAGGATTAGCTGAACTTTTGGATGGATATTTAATTTCCCAAAGCTATCTAAATGCGTCACCCCCAAATTTATCTTACGGCAAGAGATTTTAAGTTGTTAAATTATTAGCTTATTCATACTTTGATCTTTGATTCTCATTTTGTAATCAACCTCACTTAAAGATACCAGTATATTGCTTTCTGCTAATCTATATTTGATTTGGTTTTTCATTTATTAAATAGGGAAATGTTCTCTTGGGTTTTTAAGCCTGAAAAAAAATGAATGGTGGGGAATCTTAGCCATTAAAAGGACCAAATAGTCTTTAGTTTAGAAAATGCCACATTATGACCAACACATTTTATTGAAAAGATTTCTCTGAAGATAGTTAGATTTTCAAAAAAAAATAATAACAGATAAATGATTCTGAGGGGGGAAGAAATTAAGAGTATATGAAACTTAAGCAAATAAAAATAATATTATCTGGATTTTCCATTCTCGGTGAAAAAAATGAATCATGTACACATTATACAAAATTTATGTCCCATGTAATTTGAGGCTTGCTTAGTTATCAGAAATCTTAAGTCGTGAAACATAAATGTTTCAGTAAATTACCATTATGTTCTTGATAGCCAATAAGAAGTGAAGTGTTTTTATGTTTCTTTAATTTTAGATTTACTGCTTTCTACCATTCAATCCAGTTTACTGATGCCCCAGTGGAACTCAGTAAAACTGTAGTAGCACTGTTACAATTATGAGATTTCATGAAATACATCAGCACCACCATGCCTATATCTAGCACTATGCCTAGTAAAATGTTGGAAATAGTTGGTTTCTCTAATAAAAGTATTCTAACTAGCTAAGAGATTTACTTTCTTTTCCCCAAAATAATTTCTTTTACAAATTCTTGAATTTTCATATAAATAGATCAGAAATTATATGCTTCGTTCTTAAATTATGTATATATACTATATTTTCAATACAACTTGTACACTTTTAGCTACCAAAAATTTGCAACCATTTTTACATGAAATTTACATTTTTCTTATTTACAGTTACTTGTAGGTTATTGCAAAACTAGTTGTGCAAGTAGATTACACTGTCAATACCACATACCAATCTTTGAAGAAAATATTTGCTAAAAAATAAATATTTCTGCACAGATTATTTCAAAAGCATCATGATTTCATGCTACATTATGTGCATAAAGACAAGGAAAAAGGATGTTTTGGTAGAATGTTTCATTACGTTTAAAGCATTCCAAGGTACTTACTACTTAACCAATGTGAGTGAGCTTCTTTGTATCAGATGACTGAAATTTTCATGTGATAACACACATTTTTTGAAACGTACTTAACTGGAAAACATTCTGATGTACATTTTCCTATCTAAAATCATAGAATGCAAATTTCAGCTAAAAGCAGGTAAATGTGTCTTTCATTAAAATCGCCTAGGAGATGAAAACTAGGGATTCCTCAGTATGTTTATTTTTTAATATTTGGGGAAAAGAGTGTCATATAATTTCAGTGTTGTAATTGTAGAGGCATTTTGAAGAAACTACAGAGGAGGTAATTATAAGATAGTACTGATCCTTGAATTTTACTCCTAAATAAAAAGGATGATGAAATGGTGTGGAATTTTCTAACATGTAATCAAAATACTTAATATAACATCAGTACAAAAAAAAGATATGGTTTAAATGCTAACAGGTATGATTATGTTCAATCTAAAAGCAGTATGCACAAGGGAAGTATAAAAAATACAGGGTAAACATACAGTGCTATAAAACCGTATGCGTACCAAATCATTTTGTATCTCTTAAATTAACTAATGGAAGTAACAAACGTCATGACTACAATTTAGGAATTCAGCTGTTTTGACATTAGCTCTTCAAGAATAACCATGCTAATTTTGCCACTTCTCATAATAAAAATATTTTATTGGGAGCATTTCTATAATACTTGCTACTCTCATTTAAAAGTTTGATTATGATTGCTAGAAGAATGAAATTGGTCAATTGACTGTATAGTTCTGTGTTCTTAACATTGCATTCCTATAAATATGTTATCTGTCTATTCATAGTAATAATGTATTAGTTTTAAATAACTTATTAGTCATCTTTCTCCACCTCTGCTTAATAGTTTATATAAATAAGCCTTGCAATGCTTTCTTTTCATGCCGTCAATCATCAATAATTCATGTCTTCCTGTGAATTTTCTCTTCTGTATTGCATGTTCTTAGAGTAAGGTGTATTTGTACCACAACCTGTAATGAATCTAAGCTCAGGCACTGATCAGTCACAACAACTAATACTTTATAAAGCATTTTAAAACATCCTTTTAGTTTTTAAAATGTTAACATCACTTCATTGTAAGTTAAATGGAAGCCAGAGAAAGTAGCGTTGAATGAGAACCCTTAAGAAGTTAGGAGGGAGGGAGGGGGAAGCAATTGCATACCTAGAAGACAATTGCAATGCAAACATATAATGCTATCGGTATTGGACAAGGGCGGGATTTGACAAATCCTGGGATGCTACCACAGAGGATGCTTCCCTAGCACTGGTGTTCTCCTTCTCTAACTGGGTCTTTGAGAGCGCTGTGAGAATCACTAGAGATTTTTGTCACAGAGTGAAAATGCTGTCTGTTGGGTAGAGGAAAGCGCCATGGGAGGATTTCAGAAGACCTAGGTCATGCTATGGCATTTCCACCATAATAGCACCGTATTGTAATGATGCACGTGTCACATAATGACCTTACCGGTACATGGTGCTTAATGGTGTACAGGGCACTTCCACATATATGCTTCAGAGGCTCCTCAACACCTCTCAAGATATTTAAGACCGTCCCTCTATAGTTCTGGCTCCTGGCTCACTGAGAGTTTGTCTTGAAAGTAAGTGGAGAAGGTAGGATTTTAATTCAGATGTACCACATTGAGTCTTGCCATTTCTACCACTGCACACTGGACTTAGGCTGGCTGCCTGACGTATCTGTGCATGGCAGTGTGGGCCTAGATGCCTGCAAAGAACCACTACAACTATCAATTCTGTTTTTCTGAAAAAAAAATAGAAAGTGTACTTTCCTTTAAGAGTGTGTTTTGAAAATGCATTTTTCAATATCCATGTGGGAACTATATCGTGGATCTAAAGAGAGGCTTTCCCGGTGAGCTAGTCTTTACAGACCACATTCTACTAGTACTGAATTCACAGATCACCTTGCATACCTGGCATTTAACACTGATTCAGGGTAGATAGGTTTGTAACAATGACATTCACACTCTCGCTGTTATTATTATAAATAGTAAGTATTACTTTAAAGCTATAAACCTAATAGTGCAAAATACAATTGGAGAAAATGACTACACTTGTGTGTTCTGAATCAAAAACCTCAGTCTTGGTAATGGCTATTTAGCTGGAGACATATAGCACATTACATAAAAGCTAAATTGTGGAAAATTATTTGTTTTCCTGATTGTTTTTAATATCATGTTCCTAAATGAGAATCAAAGAGTCTAGAGTTTTGGGGGCACCTACTTTGTGCCAGGCACTTTACTAGATGTTCTCTCATTTCTTCCTTAAGTTTCTTGAGACAGGTACCATTATCTCATTTTTACAAATTCAGGAAAAGGACTCAGCGACCTTATTAAATTGGTCAGGGTCACAGAGCTATTAATGAAAGAATTCATCCTGAGAGCCATGTTGGTCTGACTGCAGAGCCCATGCTCTACATTGATGATTCTCAAAGTTCTTGTGTTTACTAGGATGATATAGGGGAGAACTTGTTAAAAGATGATTGTTGGTCCCACCCCTGGAGTTTCTGACTCAGTAGGTCTGGGTAGGGCCCAACAATATCCATTTGTAGCATGTTCCCCGAAGGTGCTAGTACTGCTATTCTAGGACTACATGTGAAGACCAGCTTGTCTTCCAAGTGCCTCTAACTCACATGACAGACACATTTGTTTTACTGCAAAAATATGATTAGAAATCTAATAACATTTGAAGTTTTTTGTAATTTATAAAAATTTTGATTTGCAATAAGAAATCTACTCAAATATATTGATCTACTTTTGGTTTTAACCACAGATAAGCAGTTTAAAGACTACTGTATTATAAATTAGTCGGTGCTGTGATTCATTTTTAATTACTAGATCTACTACATTTTCTCTCTTTTTTTTAACCATGAAAAGCCTTCAAAGGAAAGATGCTGTAAGAATGATTATTTTAGATATGCTGATGAGGTGCTAAATTTTAACCTTTGATAATATATGATGGGAATTTTAAAAAGTTTAGTTAAGGACATTGTTCTTTTAGGCATTTTGGAACCATTGCTAACGATAAACCTTCAAAAAAGATCTGTAAGCAACTCTCATACATACGTACTCAACCTCACACACCAAGTAGTTTCCATATCTTCTGACTGGGACAGTGGGAGGATTCATCTCTGATGACCAATCCATTATCATGGACCTAAAAAACTAGGCTACCCCAAATTTGCCTCTGCCTTCTCATGTTGGTTGAATGAGTGATTATTCATTTAAAAATCCTGCAAGGACATTGCTTCAGCATTTTTCATCTGTAGTTTCCTTATCAACTAATTAGAACATGGGACTCCCCTATGGGGTTAAATGATACTTCCAGCTCTCTGCCCAGCAATTAATAACAGTGGGAAAACTTGTCACTCAGGTAACTTCAGATTTTAGATGGCATTTTATTTAGGCTTGGGAACCAGGTAACGTTTTTAGTTGGAAACAAAAGGAGTTTTGTTAGTGTTTCTAATTACCTAGAAGGAGAGCAGTGCTATACTGCTATAACTGGCTGTAGCCTTAATCCTGCCTTTCGGGAGGATTCCCACGTGAAGGGGTCAGACTGTTTGCTACAGCCCAAGGGAAAAGTGACAATGACTTTAGGCATTAGACCTCTGGCTTGGACAAGGAGATGGATTTTGTAACTACAGAGAATTGCTTTGATCATCCATGTCATTTTAACCATTGAGCCTCTGACATTTCTGCCTAACTACATCTTTAAATTGTTTAGATTCTTTGTATGCTAGGATCCTATAAGAGGGGACCTTCTTTTTTTTTAAACTTTTTTTTTAATTTTTATCTATTTATGACAGTCACACAGATAGAGAGAGAGAGAGGCAGAGACACAAGCAGAGGGAGAAGCAGGCTCCATGCACCGGGAGCCCGATGTGGGATTCAATCCCGGGTCTCCAGGATCGCGCCCTGGGCCAAAGGCAGGCGCTAAACCGCTGCGCCACCCAGGGATCCCAAGAGGGGACCTTCTTAATCCTGTCTAATTCTCTGAGATTTAGAGTGTAATATCAAGCAATTCTTTTATATCAAGGAATTAAGAGGAAAAAAGTTTGTGTTATGCTAGAATTTAAACAAGCTGAATACTTGTGCACTATTCCTCATCTTCCCATGCCTTCATGCTCAGTTTTTATAGAGAAGTATGAAGGCTTTTCATGGAATGCTGAATTTTACACATGTCATACTAATGTTGCCGCTGAAGCATTCACTAATCCAACAATCAAGATTAAATTCCTCAGCTCCAAATCCTCGCTCCCTATAGATGAACAGTCTCTGGTAAATTCATTCTGAATTTCCCTGGAACTTAGGCTGGCAATCCTTATGGAATTTGTTGCAGCTGCAAAAATGTGCCTAAAAATGGATATAAAATCCCTAAATAGTCCTCTGAATCCAAGTTAGCCATTTCTTTCCCCCTGCTAGGCACCCACAAGTGTTTGTTGAATGAAAGAAGGAAAGCATCAGTTAGTCCCTACATGTGTAACTACATCAACACCACATGGTTTGGGAAGCTAGCTTAAGTTCTCCTGTTTTTTATCGAATGGACTGATCATTTTGCCATACATACTTGTTTTGCTTTTTCAAATGTTTAGCAGGGATACGAATTTGCTCATGCCTACAGACTGCCTCCCACACATGTGACCATTTAAAAATGTATAGGGAGCAACTTAAGATCACTTTAATCATATTTTAAATAGTGCAACCGCTTTGTAAATGTAAATGAGTTGCTTGTATTTGAAACTATTAGTGTCAGAGGTGAAGGTAAATCAACAGATTAGATTTCTATCCCTTGGGATAGAAATTAATCCATTTAATAATGCACACAGATATAATATCTTTAAAAATATATGCGAGTATAAGAATTATTAAAGAATGAAGAAACTTGCAAAAATTTCAAAATTTTGTTCAGAAGGACAGGATATAATGAACAAGCCCATATTAAGTTTAAAATTGTACTCAGATGAACTGAGAAATAAAACTTGACTAAAAATTGACGAATCGGATTCTTGCATTTTTTTTTCCATATCTCAATTTTCTGAGAGGCATATCCTCCCTCCAAAAAAATCGCTCAGTTAAAGACACTGACATACATTCCATCATATGTTCTGATATTCTGGGGCTCAAATATATTGATCCCAATGATAAATAATACATTTTCATACGTGTTTGAATAACCAAACAAAACTGAAATTTTACTGCTGGTGTGTTTTTTTCTTTACCGGCAGGTAAAAGCACATTGGTTTTCCACAGCTGGGATAAGAAAACCATGGAACAACATGGAAGCTAGTTTTACCATGCACATCCACTAGGTTGCACATTTTTAAAAAAGATCTATGTGCGTCCACTCTTGATCCAGTTCAGGATTGCACTAAAATATGAATCAGAGCAAAGTTGTGTACGTCACTCATGCTTTAGCAGTTCTTGAGAAGACTCCCTCCCCACCTCACAAAAAAAAAAAAAGAAAGAAAAATGACGAAAAACTTGTTTCTAAATGTTCAAGGAAATGTGCCAGTGTGAAATATTTTAGGTAGTTTGTAAATGAAATTAGAGACAGAATTTTAAATAGAAAGGCCTTTTTGTCCTCATTAAAGCTGGCCTATATTCGTGTATTAGGAGATGACTCCCTACGTGATCAGAGATTTAGAACTCTAAAACGTTTTTTTTTTTCCAGTGTGGTGACATGAATGTGACTAGAAACATGTTGATACAGAAGGGTATCTGTTCTCAAAGTGACTAAGCTCCTTTTCTCCCCCTGGAACTTCCATGAGTTGAGGATCATCTGATTTGCATCCATGAGCAATGTTATTCCTTGGTTTCTTACTTGCTTGGAAGGCATTTTCATAACAAAATACTGGGGTAGTAAAAGTAGTAAGTAGGAGTCTCCATGCAAGAGAAATTGGAGTTTCCTAACATGCACATGATTTAAAAAAAATAATAATAAGATGCCTTGAGATGCTGGCAGTTTTAACATTTGGAACAAAAGAGTTCATATGTATATTTACATCCTAATTGCTCAATTTTACCTTACAAGCTTCAATTTAGGAAAATATACAGTACTTTTGCATATAATGGTAACTTGTGAGCCCCTGAGTCAAGTAGAGAGGATTTAAATACAAAAAAAGGAAAACAGCCATTAAAAGCACTTACATTGTATGTGAGTAAATAGTACAAAATGATTATTTCCCCGGAAGACCAGGATCAGAAACATGCCTATGAAGACCCAAGATTCCTACAGTGCTTAGGGATGAATCTGTCAAAGAAGGATGCCTAATTGGATGAAGGTAAGTTTTTCTTTGCCGAGGGTGAAGCTCTAAAGAGAGATCACTGTCTTGTTTTAAAAGTGAAGTCAAGTTGTCTTCCGAAGCTGTGTTCAGATGCACCCCACTTGAGAGGGATTCTTTGGATTTAAGTTTAGATTTTTCAAGGTCTAGAAATTCAGGACACTGAGAGAAAGATAAGAAAACATTTTTTTTAATAATTCATTTGGACAGATTTCTAAAATTATACTCATGAAATCTAAACACATTTTATTTCCCCACAAATCTATATTTGATTAGTGGTATTAACTAAACTTTCCTTCCCAAAGATGGGTCTAGGCATTAGAGGTTGGGCATCAGTTTATCCTAAACAACCATTCCAAAAACTTTAATTTTACTCTGTGGCCAGATCTAATTCTTAAAAAAATAATAAATTTAATATTGAATTTTCCAGATGAGTCTTAATTGAAAATTCAAGACAAAACTGGGATCAGAAACAGGAGTCATATGGTGAGTAGACAGTGTAAGGAGGAGAGAGAGAGAGAGAGAGAAAAAAAAAGACAAAAACAAAAACAAAGAAATATCACTCATCCGTGGCCAGAAACTATTACCTAAATCCACTGAAAACAAAGAACGAAGTACATGGTTTTGCCATATCGGAGACATTCAGAACTAGTTAGGAATAAATATATTTCTACTATCATATATCAGAAAGATTTCAGTATTTTCCTTCTGTACATTTCCTCATTATTGATGTGGTCTCATTTCCCAGAACATTTTGCACTAAATTCCCAAACTCCTAAAAAAGTTTACAAGACTGTTCAGTAAGTCCTTGCCCTTGGGTCCACCTTTCTTAGGTCCAATTTGGCTATTGTGTTTGAGTATAAGAATAATTTCCTAATTGGAATTCCAAGGGAGTTAGACTTTTCATATTAACATAATTCAAAAGCACTTAGGGGTCTTCAGAGGCAAGATAAAGGAAACTTGAATCATCCTCCTCTTACCATGATGGAGATGAGAAGTTTCTAGATCTCTGGTGAGGGGTGGGGCACAAATGAGATTACTAGTCTGCTGGCCCTGGAGCCTCAGATCTTTGAACAGCTGCTATTTCTCCTCCTCTTTCTTCCGGAGAGCCTGCCCATGAGTGCCCCTTTGTCACCACAGCCAATTACAGACCTTTCTTTGAAGCACTTTTTGGATCCAGGGCTATCAGCTCTACCATACATAAAATTAAGCAGATTGACTCTTGAAAAGAATTTTTTTTTTAGAAAAAAAAATCGCTAGTGTTTTAAAATCATTCTTCTAGATTCACTGTTCTCAAACTTGAAATGAACATAAGAATTAGTGGGGAGCTGGTTTAAATGCAGATTATTGGGGGTTATTCCCAGAAATGTTAACTGAGCAGAAACAGATGGGGATGAGAAACTTCATTTCCTATAGCACCCCAGATGATTCTGACTCAGGTGGTCCCCAGAAACACACCTGGAGAGAGATTTACTCTGGGCTCTACACTACGGACACTCACTTGTGAGGAAGGACTGAAACTTCGGTCCGTCTTGATGGATGCTGCGGGTGGGCTGGTTCTCATCAGGCGAATGACCGGTCTCTGGTACTCCGCTCCAGCAGTTACCATGCTGTAGGCTGGGGGGACCACGGTGGTTTGTTTCTGTAGCAACTGTAAGATGGTCTGGATGTCAGCAGTCATTTGGGATTCAAGTCTGCAGGACAGACACAAAAGGGGAAAGACAGTCCTAAAACAGTCCAAGATTGCAGAGCATTTGAGAAAATTTCAGCACCACCAACAGATGTATGGCCCTGCTTTAAACAAGAAGGACGGGAGAGGGAGCATGGAGATTCTCTCCCGGCTGCTGCTCAGTTCCTAAGTCCCACTAGTGGTTCTGATAAATCTCATTGGTTTTGGGCTCCTTTAATAAGATCTTAATAGAAATGCAGCTGCATCAAAAGACACTACATTTTTTACTAATCTTTATTGATTTCAAATGTAAAACACTTCGAGACTCTATTTTTACTCAGTAATTTGCTTCTTAATCAGGCTTTGCTCACTTTCTTGTGAGCATTTTATTTATTCTTTAAAATGGGTTCAGTGGCACATTTCTTTCAGGGCTGCAATAGTCAAGTCATTTCTTAAATGTTTCAAAGTTATATTACCTTTATTTTACCTGATTCTCTCCAAGTCACAGTATTGCATGTTATTCACTATTCTTTATCATGAGGTGCTGTTAGTTGCTAAATTCCTTTTCCATTTCTTTCATACGTGTAAGTCCAGGCCTTTGGTATTTAAGAAACAGATCAAATGTACCAGACCAAATGTACAAGTTCACTTGCTTCTCTGACCCATCTGACTTGCAAAATGCATCTGATGATTTTTTTTCCCCCTAAAGCTCTCAAGGAGCCAACTGGTCTGTTAATTTCATTCTCGTTTTAAATTAAAATTCAAAGGAAAATAGCAAAATACAATGGGAATAATTTTCCTTTTTTGCATGTGTTAACAGCATTTTTAAAAAGGGAATTTTGTGGGAATAAGAACAGAAAATTTGGGCCATATGCTTCCTTAGAAAACTTTAGCTCTTCACTTATTTGTGTTATTTTGTTTCTGAATGAAAGATATAAAGAGAAGGGAAATCTTACCAAAAATGTTAAAATCATAGAACTTAGAATCTGAATTTTAACAAGATCCCTGGGTGATTCCGATGCACATTAAGGTTTGAGAAGCTCTGTTTTAGGATCAACTGTTAATGATTTCCCTAAATATGTATATCTGTAGGCATAATATATAAATATATAAGAACCCTTCTTATGTAACGCTTTAGCCCTACATATAGTTTAATTGATCATGAAAGCAGAAAAGGAGCAGCAGTGAAACTAACTCAGGATAGATTATTTAATATCTGTTTTTATTGCACTGTGTACTTAATATGAATATTTGAATGAGACAAATGGGGCTGTGATTCACAGTTCTACATTTGAACAAAATGCTGAAACTAAATAGGGCAAGCCTGACTCTGGAAAATGTCCCGCGATTCTCATTCTGCAAAGTCCAAGTCTGAATTGAGTTGTTCTTTTCAAACCTGTTCTCTATACTTTTGCCGTTTAGAGTAAAGTGGAGGAAAGATGTTGTTGGAGATGTTAGTCCAGTAGACACGTAATATTTTGGATTTTAAATCCAAAAAAGGCTAAGCTGAGTTAGGAAATATAATGTTAGTGAAAAAATTGGAGATTAACAGAAATAAGTCAAAGTGAGAAGTATGTCAAAGGACATACAGATGCTGGGATTATGTCAAAAGAGATGTCAAGAAGAGATTTAATTGTACTTGAGATGTAAAGTTTCATATGATAATAACTAATTAATCAAATAACAATAATAATTATTAGTGGGCGATTCCAAATCATCCAGTCCTACATGTGTGTGCCCTTATGGGTTTACACTTATAATCCTAGGACACATTGAAAACATATATTTTCAGTAATCTGGCTTATTCTAGCAGCAATGATTGGTACCCCTGACAAGGCAACAAAGGGATCCTAAAATTTTAATTTTAGTCCTAAGGAAAGGACTAAAGGAAGTGTATGTACAGTAGGGAGAACACCAATAAAGTAAAGTAAAATAGAAGTAAAGTTCATTGTTCATCAGATTTCACGTAGCTGCTAGTACAACACTTTCCATTTTGAGCATATATAGTTTCCATATATCATATCTTAGTCCTTAAACACCACTGCAGGTGTGTAAGCATCCAAGATATAAACTGAGGCTAGAGAAGCTTGAGTGACTTGACCCAGTCATCCTGTCCATAGTTAAGTAGCAGAGTTATGACTTTAATCTAGGCTAACTGCAAGTTTTTGCTGAAGAAATCACTGCTGTCCCTGTCGTTCACCTATTCACTCACTCACGTTTTTATCTCCTCAACAAACTGAACACATATTCTATGTCCTAATAGTAAAGAAATGGGCAACTATTTTTTCTAAATGAGAGGAATCAAAGAATTCAAGTTCACTCAGTCATTAGAAACGACAAATACCCACCATTTGCTTTGACATGGATGGAACTGGAGGGTATTATGCTGAGTGAAGTAAGTCAATCGGAAAAGGACAAACATTATATGGTCTCACTCATTTGGGGAATATAAAAAAATAGTGAAAGGGAATAAAGGGGAAAGGAGAAAAAATGAGTGGGAAATATCAGAAAGGGAAACAGAACATGAAAGACTCCTAACTCTGGGAAACGAACTAGGGGTGGTGGAAGGGGAGGTGGGCAGGGGGTGGGGGTGACTGGGTGACGGGCACTGAGGGGGGCACTTGACGGGATGAGCACTGGGTGTTATTCTATATGTTGACAAATTGAACACCAATAAAAAATAAATTTATAAAAAAAAGAATTCAAGTTCAGAGATCATACATATCAATTCTTATGTGTATACAGCATATAGTTTTATACATGTTGTGGCTAAAGGATCAATGTCACTTGGCAGAAATAGCAGGGAGAGTAAAAAAGCAAATGCATTAATTAAGCAACTAAATAGGTTTCACTGACCAATAATAAGTATTACAATGGCAAGTTCTTATACTTGAAGTTCTAATGTTCTCAGATATGTTTCAATTTGACAAGACTTGCATTGAGCACTTGGGAATGGAATATGGATCTTAGCACCAGAAGATTTTAAATTCTATTAAAATCCATGAAAAGATAAAATACAAAATAAATCCTTAGTTTGTGCGATATTTCCATACTTTGAAATTAACAAATTGATTTTAGTCCACAAATTTGTAGATCTTCGAATTCCATTTATCTGTTTTAATCCCTCATTCTTTTTTCATGGCAATGTATATGTGTGTGCACACACACTCTGATGTGCTTACTATATTGTTTGACATTGTTCATTTCTGGCAGAAACATTTAAAAAAACACTAAAAACAATAAACAGCATGGATGAAGCACATAAGGAACAAGAAGCAAATAGTAAATCGCTTATGTGGTATAGGCAAAACTCCTGGGATGTGTTACGTATAGATAATGCACGAGCAAGTAACTTGCTAGACAAGGACAGAATTCCTAAGATGTATTAAATACAGACAACATGCTAGTAACCTGTAAGACATGCCAAGGACAGAACAGAGATGTGACCTAACAAGCCAGAGTGTGGCTTATACAGATAGAGATGGAAAAAACAAGTTATTCTTATGACAACTCTGGACAGAAAACTGTCACCCCCAAGTGTGGCCATCCAGTGCTGACACACAGCAGAGGCTCATTCTGACTCTGCATGTACTCTACCTACAAAAACCTACAAATAAAACATATTGCTGTTCAGCAGAGACAATGGACAGCCACAACCATGGCCAGGGGTACCCCACCTTACGTGTCTGTGAAAGAGCAAGTGTGTGCCACTGGGATAGACAGATTTTTTTTTCCTATGGACCTTCCGTGCAAACTCAACTCTGGTCCTAGTAACCACACATCACGGCAGGATGATGCAGCATATGTGAACATTGTGTAAATCAGCATTCATGTTTTACATTGATTTAGCAAATTGTGTGATTTGAGCATTTTAGGTGAATCTGTGAAGTTTTCTGTCTGTGACCACTGCCTTGCATGGTGGTGTACTCGGAGACTTCCTTTGAATCAAGGTCAATTCCCACATGAAGCACAACTAACACAGCTGTGTCACACTCATTCGTGTATTTTTTCCCCCTGAGTCTTATCGACCAGTTTAATTTTAAGAAATCTACACAGATTTGGGTTAAGGAATTCCATCCTTCCTAAAACAAAAATTTATTCCTCATCTCCAAAGGGTATAGATCAAACACGGAAGGAAAATGGAAAAGATCTGGGCTTCAACTCTGTGGTATTTTTAATGCAATCACATTTAAGAGAAGTTGACTGAATAACTAAATGTTTAAATAATTTTGTCTATACTTAAAAAAAAAATGCCATGACACATAACTAAGTTACCAGAAACAACCAAAACGTGTAAAAGCAAGATTAAAAGAGAGTGTTAGTAAACAAGTTAAATATGAATTATTTTGAGGAAAAAGGAGTTTTCTTCAGCAGCTGCTGTGGGTGATATACTAATTTTATGACAAGTGAAGAAAAAAGAGGATTTATGTTGCCAGAAGCATGAAGTGTTCTAAATAGATGCTCCTTGCAACACAGATTAATAATTCTGTCAACTTCCAGTCTTATTTTAAATAAGTAAGCATATATGAAAAATATGAGATTATAGTAGTAGCAAGCTGCTAGTTGCAAGGAGAAACCCTAGACCCAACTACTGCCTTGGCTGATGCTCTCCCTTGGCCTTGCCATTGCTTATACCTGTTAAGTTGTTCTTGAAGCAAATCTAATCTTTGCTCCACTTCCCCATAAGTGAGGTCACTTTCGGTTTCAGAGATCCCCCAGGCAGCTCGCTGAAGTCCTGAGGGACTAGACTCGTCAGCCCCAGTCTGTGCATTTCCTCGTTCCCAGCTTCTTGTGTCAGCAATATCTGTGGGAAATAGCAAGATGGGCGTCAACTTCTTTGGGTGCCCCTTTGCATCAATAAACAGAGACATCTACAAGATAAGCAGGGAAGGATCTCAGAGTAAAACCCCAGAGACAGAGAACCCAAGTGATTCAAGGACCTGTCCTGGGACCACACCTAATTGGTAGCTGACCCCTACTCTTCCTCACCCTGCCTGCCACCTCCTTGGTCCATTTCTGCATGAATAAAAACATAGAGATGGTCATAGTTTTTTTTTAATTTTTTTAAAGATTTTATTTATTCATGGGAGACAGAGAGACACAGAGAGAGGCAGAGACACAGGCAGAGGGAGACTCAATCCTGAGACTCCAGGATCACACCCTGGCTGAAGGCAGGCGCTCAACTGCTAGGCCACCCAGGGATCATGAGTTTTGAATATGATTTTGTCTCTCATTAGAGAGCAATGGTTTTGTGCTTTTGTATTCGGGAAGAAACAGCATATTTTGCTCCTATAGGCATACCTCCTTTTATTGCGCTTTGCTTTGTTGCACCCCAAGGATACCAGTTTTTACTTGACCAGTGCTCTACCCTCTGAGCTATGGAGGCTTTTCCTGATAACAGTTTTTACAAATCAAAGGTTTGTGGCAATCCTGTGATGAGCAAGGATCTATGGGGCATCATTTTATTTCCAGCGGCATTTGCTCACTTCATGTCTCTGTGTTACATTTTGGTAATTCTTGCAATATTTCAAACTCCTTCATTATTATTATATTTGTTACGGTGATCTATCATTAGTGATTACAACTCCCTGAGAGCTCAGATAATGGTCAGTATTTTTTAGCAATACAGTACTTTTAAATTAAGGTATTGTACATTGTTTTGAAAGACATAATGCTATTGCGCATTAAATAGACTACCTACCATAAGATGTGAACAAAGAAACAAAACATTTATATGACTCATTTTATTGTGATATTAACTTTTTTGCTGTTGTCTAGAACTGAACCTGCAATATCTCTGAGGCATGGCTGTACTGCTTTGCCTTGGATTTAAGATTTTTGGGCTATTCTCCCAGGATAATTAGCATACTTAGTGATTCAGAGTGGGCTGAAGGAGAGAGCCATGGAAAAGTTCTAATCTTCAAGAGATTCCCTTAGGCAACCCAACCCAACTCAGAGCAGAGCCATTAAAGATGGCAAGGGTGTTAAAGGTCCTGAAGTCCCATGACACTATTTTATGTTTTTATCTTTCCTTGTAGTTCCTTCTGCACCGTCCTTTAATATATTCACATTAATTTCCAATATGTTTTCTTGTGGCTCTTTTATTTAGAATATTTTTATTTTTTTTAAGATTTTATTTATTTATTCATGGGAGACACAGAGAGCGAGGCAGAGACACAGGCAGAGGGAGAAGCAGGCTCCATGCAGGGAGCTCAATGTGGGACTCGATCCCGGGTCTCCAGGATCACGCCCTGGGCTGAAGGCAGATGCTCAACCGCTGAGCCACCCAGGCATCCCCTGATCATTTTTCATACAGAGATTCACCTGCTGATGAATCTTCTTTTAATTTACGGCTTATCTTACAATCTGTATTTGCAAGTTACAAATATTTGAGGGAAAATATAATATCTTACTTTTCCTCTCATTTTTTATCATGTACTTTAATGGCTTTTGCTCTTCTTTCTTAACCTCTATATTCTACATATCCACATAAGAGCTTACAATGATTAAAGGTTTGGAAAATAGAACCCTAGAAAAAATACTAGTAGAGTTGAGAGTTTATTTCAGAGATAAAGAAGTGACATCTTCTCACTGGGAGGGCTGGTAGGAGGAAAAGAGTATCTAAAACTGGTCTTCATTTTCACATGGAAGTAGATTTGAATTACAGAAAGTGATTTTGGTTTGATAGAAAACCTTTTTTTTTTCTTTTTTTTTTTTTGTACACTAGCTATGATTAAACACTGACAAAAGTTATGTAAAGTTAAGGAATTTATATCCTCAGCTATTTAAAAAATTGGGTAGCAAGTAACTGATTTGGGAAGATTAGGTATGATTCTAGAAATAGGGAACAAGATTTGCAGGGCTTCTTGCAGTCCCTTCCTTTCCTGCAGCTTGTTCAAAAGTACAGTCAGATAGCTCAAAAACATCCTCTTTCTTCAAGGAACAGAGAAAGTCTCTGTATTTTTTCTTCTACCATTATCTCTTTATCATTGAATACACAGAAATTTCTCTAATGAGGTGCCTTCAATCGCTGCGTCAATTTAGTGAAGCTGTACCAAAGGAATTAGCATCTCCAAAGAGCATTAGAAAAATAGGAGGTCAGGTCCTGGTTCTGTTGAAATGGCTAACAGATCTCAGAGGACTTGTTATGAACTCCGGAATGGTTCTTTGTGATTAAGGCTTCCTTAGCCTACAAGATCCTGGTGTTTTGTTTGGTCTTTTAAGGAACCAAGTATAATTTCTTTTGATATCGTACCAAACCAAACAAAAACGAATAGAAAAATAATATCGTTGAAGATTTCAGCAGATTTTCACTGAATCGTATGATTTACTATTCACAGACTTGTAACTCTATTTAAAACTGAAAAACAAAACAAAAAAAAACAAAAAAACTGAAAAACAATAATATAATGTCTTGGTACTCTAGGTTTTCAATTTTGGAGCAGCAATGGCAAACATTTAGAACACACATATATCGGTTTGGTGATGCCCATGCTTGCCCCTGAATAGCCACCTGTAGAGAAGATATCTAATTGTCTTCTCTAAAAATTCCTATAGCCGGTTACCGTAGGAATTTTTAGAGAAGACAATTCTTAAGAATTGGTAAGATAGAAGTTACATATTATGCTCAGAAGTTTTGTGCCAAGAAAGCTTACAGAATTTCTGCCCATGCTTAACAGCTCTCTCATTTGAAAATCATATATAATAAATTGATTTTAAAATAACAATGCTGAACCACATGCAATAAATTATGTAGTATTATATTTTTCTTCACTGCCTAAGAAAAAAAACTGATTATCTTCTCAACAGAAATGAATAAAATGTAAACTATTAGACAGAGGCTTCATTGATTATAATTTACTTTTTTATTAAAATCTGGAGATGCATAACTGGCTTGCGTAAATAGCAATATAGAAAAAAAAAAAGTTCAGAGGGGAAATCCTGGTTAGTGGTCTTAATCAAAATGAACATCCTTGTAGATACTTTCTAAATATAGCTCAGAAAGAATCTGCACTTGGTTGCCTTGGAAAAGGTTGCTATAGTTGCAAGACACATTTCTAGAAATGGATGAACAGAAAGTAAACTTTCACTTTGCTCTGGGTACACAATTTTTCTAGAGTTAACTTTTGACCTCAATCTAAGTAGGCTCAGAATCCACTTAATTTGCTTTTTTTCTCTTTAGCTTTGACAAAAAAAGTGCTCTTCTGTTGGATTCAACATGACAAGTGCAGGAACGTGAGTAAATGAAATTTCTTACTGATAAAACTAAAATTTGTGGGGAATTAGTAGTTTACACTGCAGCATTTAGAGCTATACCCTTCACAGCAGTCAAATTCTTGAACATTCCATAATACTTCACCTTAAAAATCATTAAGGCATAAATTTTGCAGTGAAAGAAGTTTTAGAATTGTCCATTAGTTGGTCAGATTAATTAACCATGTATCATACTGGTCAATGCTCTATGACATCAATTATTTTATTCAATTGACGTGAGTGTTCAGCTCTGTATTTTCATTCAAGGCATTGATTTATTATTTGAATAGGGACTGAATTGCACTTTTTTGAAAATTAAAAACCTGTACATATTAAAATTATTTGTTAGAATACTTTTTAAAATCATGTACATAGAATAGCTAATTAAATGTAATTGGAAGGGGGGATCCCTGGGTGGCTCAGCGGTTTAGCGCCTGCCTTTGGCCCAGGGCGCGATCCTGGAGTCCCAGGATCGAGTCCCACGTCGGGCTCCCTGTGTGGAGCCTGCTTCTCCCTCTGCCTGCGTCTCTGCCTCTCTCTCTATGTCTATCATGAATAAATAAATAAAATCTTTAAAAAAAATGTAATTGGAAGAAACGGCCAACAAAAATACAAGATGAAGGGCATGAGAACTCACTGTAAGCAAGTCATTATAAAGTCAAATGAAGTCCCAAAAATATGTCTTTAATGACTTGTTACTTAAGACTCTAAAACTCAAGAAGAAGACAACAAAAAGTACTTTTTAAAAAATCAGGTCTACATTAGGCTGACTTTTGGAGAAGTAGAGATGGTCCAGGGAGCTCTTCAGAACTTCTGACTTCCATGATACAACCTTTTCCTATTTTTAGTACTTCCCAGAATCTGATTTCATAAATAACTAAAATGGGACATTTGGTAATCACATCTAATGTTCCATTCTTCCATTGTGATAAATGAGGTACTATTTTCATTCACTTCATCAAGATTTTAAATTGTCCAGAGAACATTTGCATATATTCTTAGCTTACTTCAACATGGGGTCATAGCAAAAGCTGATTTGATATGATAGGAAAAATAACTGGAAAAATGTAAAGGCTAACCATCCTAGAGTCAACAAAACTACTGTTGTCAGATACAGTCACTTCTAATAATGGTGATGATGACAGGTAATATTTATTTACTCTGTGCCATAATTTTGCTATCTTGCCAGGCCAAGACCATTTTTCCTTTATTTCTGTTGTTCTTTTGATTTTTTTTGGTTATGCACTCTTTATCTCTACATTTTTATATATCCATTTTATACATATATTCAATGATTAAAAGTTTAGAAAATAAAATCCTAGAAAAATATGAAACAGAGTTAGGGATTTTATTTCAGAGAAAGTAATTTATGCATGTTATCTCGTTCAATAATTGCAATCAACTAGGTAGTTAGAAAATATTACTTTATTTGAAAGATGAGCAAACAGAATCTTAGTGAGGTCTGTCAAGTGTCTTATTCAAAGACATAAAGGGAACAAATGAACAAAGCAAATAAATAAAGGGAGCTGAGTTTGGAACCCAACCAGTCTGACCCACACCTGTTCTTACACCGCACTTACCAGTTAGATTCAGCTAGATCTGTAGCTCTAGTATTTGTGCTGCCAAAGTGAGCACTAGATCTAAAGCTCTAATTCCCATTATGCTAAGATAATTGTTCTTCCATGTGATAGTTCTTAACTTTTCTTAAGTTTCCCATCCTTTAGCACCAAATTTGCATACATTAATCCAACATTATTATCCATCTCATGCCTCTTTTCTACAATAAAACCCGTATGTTTGGGTATTCCTTCATAGAGATGTTAAACAACTGTGTTTAAATAAGTTGGATAAAGAGCATAATTTATTTAGGGACCTTTCTCCCCATTTGTTCATATTTTTTAGTAAAGTGACATTCTCCTTGGTGTTTATTGTAGTGTTACCTCATTGGCTTTTCATGCTATAAAATGACTGGGTTGGGGGTTAGGAATGGGTACAGAGGGTACAAAGAAGAATCAACTGGTTAGTTCTTATAAAATACTCATTAATTCCTGCTCCCTGTTGGAATCACTACAAGAGATCTTCCCACAGTGTTCTATGTGGCATTATGTTAAATCTCACTGCCACAAAAACGTCTCATGCTATCAATGTTTAGGAATAATTAACACTGTTCCAGATTTGCACAAATGCTTTGTAGATGATTTGAGACGGGAGCTCTGCAAATATTTCATGAAGTTGTAAAAAGATTAAATTAACATGTGTCAGTACGGTTCTTCATTTGTGAAAAATCACCATTTTACAATTAGCACCAAAGGGAGACAATCTGATTCCTGAGAAACTCGATTACCTTTGCAAGACTGACTTCTTTTATCTATGTGAATTCTTCCTGAGGTGGGCCCTCCTTCCACAAAATTGAGTCCAGCTGCTTTCCCCATTCCTGGAGGAGAATCTACTATTCCTGAGAAGAGAGGCTTTTGTTCATCATCAATGGAGGAGATGAAAGATGAAGATCTGCTTTTTTTCTCTTCAAAGTGTTTCTTGGAACTCTGATAATGTCTTATGGTATCTATAGAGTCTTCAGGACCATTCGTACTGTTCCCTTTGCCAAAATCTGTCAAAAATTATTTTATAGAAAATAAGAAAATGTGAGACTCTATGCATATTACACTACCTAACTATATATAAATTACATTTTTAATAGTTATGTTCTTTAAATAACTGTAACATAGAGTTTTCCTTAGCGGCACCTGGGTGGCTCAGCTGGTTGAGAGTCCAACTCTGTTTGGCTCAGGTCATGATCTCGGAGTCATGGAATCGAGCCTCATGTCAGGGTTTCTCTCCCTCTCTCTCTGCCCCTCTCCCGGCTCACTCACTCAGTCTCTCTCTGTCTCAAATAAATAAAATCTCACTCACTCAGTCTCTCTCTCTCTCTGTCTCAAATGAATAAAATCTTAAAAAAAAAAGAATTCTCTTTAAAACCACCAAGAAAGTTGATCATTCTCTTTTTCCCATTGAAAATGTAGCTACTTAATGAGAATTTTTTTTCTTAATTCAAAGGACATTGGATTGTCTTAATGAAATACATTATTTATTTCAGAACTAAAAGACTATCTGCAATAACAATAATGTTTACATCTCAGAAAAACCCCTCTAACTTATAACTTTATTTATACATGCTCAACAGTCATTTGTATTCTTAAAATATGGTCCACTATCTCTTTAAGGAAATGAAAAAGGGAGGGAAAATGTGTCCCAATTCTAAAATATCACGACTATGCAGCTTGTTTGTTTTTAGCCTTCATGTTCTCTCGTGTGGCAGGCGTTCATGCATGGCGAAAGTCAAAACGAGAAACCTCCTTGTAGTAAAGGCTGATGGGATGAATTTCAACCTTAGTTCAATATATGTAATGGCATTGACATTCCAGGCAGTTTGGTAGAGTAGCATATTGTAAAGAATATAAAGCTTAAATACAGTAATTAAGGTGGGTTTATCTAATTACATTAAAGCCAGTAGTGCATACTGGCTTTTTTATACTGAAATGTCAGGATAATTTTAGCCCTGAAGGTTGTGTTAGAACATATTTCAGCAGGAAGAACTCAAAAAGACAAATCCCAGAACTTATTTTCATTAGTATCCTGGGGAGACAGTATAATTCTCCATCTGGTTACTGCTAATAACTAACCAACACAACTCCAGAAGGTGTAGTAGTTTCTAGAGAAATGGTTAAGATTGTGTCCCCATCTACTCTATTCCCGGTTGTACCTAGTGTGTTATTTATAGAAGGCCAAATGAACTGATTTAAGGCCACTCTAGAGAAACTTCCAACTATTTCTCAAAATACTTATGTAAAAAATATATATATCAGAGTTTACGATATGAGAAGCCAGAAAGCAGCCCAAGCTAAAAATGAATAGACTTTAAAAATCATCTTTATGGGGCACCTAGGGGGCTCAGTGGGTTAGATGTACGACTCTTGATTTGGGTTTAAGTCATGGTCCCAGGGCTGGATTAAGCCTGCATGGGGCTCTGAGCTCAGTGGAGAGTCTGCTTCAAAGTCTCTCCCTCTCCCTCTGCCCCTCCTCCTGCTTGTGCCTGTGTACCTCTGCATGTGCGCTACCCCAAATATCTTTGTTAAAAAAATCAAGTTTATGTGAAACTGTTATTAAGGAGTTAGCTTATGTCCTGTCAATTAAAGTTAAATGTAGCAAAAACCCATTCTTTAATTTATTTTCTTTAGGATTTCACACTTGCTCAGTGATAGTGATCCTATCATTGCTGAGATTACAGACCTTTCCTGTTTCTTTTTTCCTTCCTTCCTTCCTTCCTTCCTTCCTTCCTTCCTTCCTTCCTCCCTCTCTCCCTCCCTCTGTTTCTTTCTTTTTTCTTTCTTTCTTCTTTCTTTCTTTCTTTCTTTCTTTCTTTCTTTCTTTCTTCTTTTTTTCTTTCTTTCTTTCTTTCTTCTTTCTTTCTTTCTTTCTTTCTTTCTTTCCCCTTTTTTTCTTTTTTCTTTCTTTCTTTCTTTCTTTCTTTCTTTCTTTCTTTCTTTCTTTCTTTCTTTCTTTCTTTCTTTCCCCTTTTTTTCTTTCTTCTTTCTTTCTTTCGACAGAGAGAGTGTCTGATGTAGGGCTGGATCTCACAACCCTGTGGGATCATGACCTGAGCAGAAACCAAGAGTCAGCTGGATGCTTAACTGACTGAGCCACCCAGGCACCATTTCCAGTTTCAAGCACTGTGGACCTCATTGGTTGCTCAGCATCACTTCCGTTTCCCCACTCAACCGCTAATCTAATTGGCTGTAAACAGATCAGCATTTCTTTTTCTCTCCAGTGTCCCTGACACAGCCCTCCTTAAACTTCTGGAGCTCTTTAGTATCATCTCATCCTCTATTTTCTTTGGTTTTAACTCCTCTCCAAATTTGATTCACATTCCCCATTTTATGAACACACTTCATTCCTCAAAAAATAATCGTTTCCAACTTTATGCTAGTAAATGTTAAAAAAAGAAAAAAAGCTTCCCTTTTCTAAATTGTCCTCACACCTGCTAACTGAATTGCAGGTTTGCTGATCCTGAGTACACCTGTGTGCAGTTTGGGCACCAGTGGGATTTGAGTCACCCCAGGCATCGACTCTTCCTGAGAATACCTTTCTTTTTAATCAGTTGCATGGAGTCTTTTCCATAATTCAGTTTCAGATGTAAACTGAATTAACCGTTACTTCTTATGCCTCCAATCTAAGTATGGAGAATGCTAACATGGATCTTTGTAAGGAATGTACATCACAAATTATGCAACCATTTTGTCTTTTTGGCTTGAAAGGTTTTAGGAGTTCTCTGTAGATTTTTCAATCCTCACGTATAGTAAAATGTTCTGTCCTACGAACTACCTGGGCCTTGGTCTTTATTTACTAAACATGACTTGATTTTGGATGCAGAGGGACAAATTCATCAGTTAAGAGATATTTTTAGGTTGAATTATAACTTGCTGATTTCAACTCAGAACAAGTATTCATGAAATGTGGTGAATGAGGGATTATTATTTTGTTCTATTGTAACAAATTACTTTATATACATGGTCTCTTAAATCCTATAATAAAAATTCCAGGTAAAAGCAGGATCACAAGAGAAAAAGAAAGAGTGTAACATCCTTGGACTTTCCTAGTATGTAAAGAGAATTACTCCACATTTATTTCTGTGTTCATTGCCACTGGATGATGAGCCAGCTGCTTCCTGGAACACAGGCCACATGGACAGTTTCTTTAATACAGCTTCACTGCAGCCACATTTTTCTATTCCTTATTAGATAAATCAAAAGTTCATATTCTATCACAGAAAATGAAAGTTGAAATGACAATCTCTTTGTGGATTAGAAATGGAAAATGCTCAGGGTTAGGCTGGGAGGTGGCTGAGGGAATACACGAAATTAGGATAAAATGCATTATAATTAGCCTCCAGGTACCGCTAGATTTTGATGGCCTGTTTCATTTCTGCCTTCTTCTAATTAAACTGAATTATTTGATAGATATTAAATAGTATTAGGTACAGTTTTTTCTTGATACTAATTTTTTCCTACTACTAATCTTATTCCATGTAGAAATAGTGTTCTGAGGGCAGTAAGGCTAGGGAGTTTTACATTTTCCCCTTTGCTGGAAGTGAGATTGTATAATCACTCCTGCTGCCATCATTTCACACAGAAAAAAAATTCACCTGTTTAATTAAACCTCAAATTTTCTTTCTGATTTAGATGATTAAAAACCTTTTTTTAAAAAATCCCTTATTTCTGGAGGCTGACAGTTCACCTCCTCCCCTTTTCTCACGAGACACAATACTAAAATATGCCTGTGGATGCTTTTCTGGGTTCAGAATGAATTCAAGAGCGCAGAGCAAGAGTATCCTGATGGAGTTGTTGACCCATCCACCTTAGGAGCCTTTATCTCATATTGATTACCATTTTTATTCAGCAGACCCAACAGATAGACCCAACTTTTGGTCAAAGAGAGGCACTTAACATGCCCTGCCCTGTTAGCAGTTGGGTTTTGGATTTTCCACTGGTAACAGTTTAAATAAGCTGAGCATTTTCTGGCCAGATGCATTTTTAAAAAGTTATTTCAGTAAAAATTGAGGTCTAAAATAAATTTCTTCAGTTGATTTCAAATACCTTAGTCCCTTTCTGGCTTCAATGAATGTTACAAGATGATTAGTGTCATTTTTCTACACAGATGCAAGATCAAAACATTTAAACTATCTTAAAAATTAAAATAAAGAAATTACATTTATATACCACTAAAGTGGATATCAACCGCTAAGTATCATTTGTTACTGGAGAAGATATTCCTCGGAGATACCAAAGTATAACACCAACACATTTAAGGCTTAATATAATAGAATTAAACCACCTTTACTCTATAAAAATAAGTTTCACAATGTGTATATTTACTCCTTACTTCAATGACTTCCATACTACTTACTACTTTGATATAGTATTTTCTGTCCATAGAAAGCGTTGTGCAGAACATTCCAAATATTTGGCCACAAAACCCCTATTGATTAAAAAATACACTGTGTGCATGTGTGCATATCTCATGTGCTATTATATGTGCTACTATGCTGATATATTATGTATATTATAAATCATACATAACATAAAATCTTAATTATTATTCCTATTACTCAATGATGGTATGATTACTGGCATACTTTGAAGTAAACACAATACAACTTTGAAGACTAGTTAAAGACAATGTTTTTAGCATGTTCCAAGTGAAAATACCTCATTTTCTTCTGTTCTGTCCAACCATTTTAACAAGTCCTTAACAAAGGCCACTAAATAGGTCACTGAAGCATCATTTTTGTTCTTCACTTTCTGTAACAATGACTTTACTTCCATCTCAGCAACTGTAGGTCCTCTTTCTACAATGACCTTAGTTAAGTTGGGGAGTTCTAGGGGCATCTTCAGTCCAAAATTTTAAGAAGGAAAGAGAACTACTTGAGGATTAAAAAAAAAAAAAAAAAGGAAACAAACAACAAGATCTTCTCAAACTCAAAGCTAAACTAACAACTTTCTCTTGTTGAGAAGTAGGTTTATTTCAGCAGAAGAAACAAGTTCATGAGGACAAGCCACATTCATCAACAAATTAATTTTAAGATAAGTGATCCAAAATGTTAAGCTTCTATTTTGTTCACGTCAGCTTGTGACAGAGTCCATATACATTTTCTTTTTAAATATATCTTGTTGAATGTAAGCTCCTTAACAATGTGTAGCTCGCATGATTGGAAGGGGTGGAGGATGGTAAGGATCAAAGAGTTCTGATGCCTTGAGTAGATAGTGAGTGGCAGTGTAGGACTCAGCCTTTGTCTGTCTCCAATGCCCGGTCACGTGTTCTTCTCTCTGGTTCTTAATGCTTCTGCTGAGTGATTCATAGTCATCAGCACTCCTAGATGTCTGCCTTCAAGGAAGTGTTTCATATGAGCCATTAACTAACTAAAATAATCAATGCATTGCATGGGCAGCTTTAAGGTCATGTACCCCCACAGCATTTAGCATCAATAGTTTTCTGAAGGTTCTCTGTTCTTTATACTTTTGTATGTGTTTTTCTCCTATACATTGATTCTACATCAAAATATGTATAGAATGAGTGGCCACCTTTGGAACATGAAACTGGGGGGATGGAAACTAGATTACTTTCAGCAAATTTTATACTTGCTGTAGCACCATGGAGTCCTGAAGACTGGAATAGGTTCTCAAGCTCTGGATGACTGGAGTTAATTGTGTTTTCACATTGCCCAAATCATGCTTACTCACTGACACACCAGGAAACTTCAAAGAACTGCAGGCAGGCAAATCCCCCATCTATACTTTATATAAAATAAGTCTCTTAGACTAAGTCTGTGATTAAAGGAGAAGTTTTCAGAATCAATAGAAATGTCTAGTTGCATGAACACAATATGCATTTTGACATGCTCTTGGGGTCTTATCATGAGATAAAAACTTTAGATTATTTAGCTTGAGAATGAGAAAACTAAACAAGATTGAAAGATTTAATAAATCTTCAACTGTACGGGAAACATTATTGTATAGACAACACTTTCAAGTTGTTCTTCATATCCAGCAAGATAAAATAAGAGATTAACTTCAGGATAAGGGATTTTGATTAAGCCTACAGAAGAACAGCTTGACAGTAATGGTTCTGGTTTTAGAAAAAGTTACCAAGAGAATAATGAAAGACACTGCAGAAATAAATTATCACCTATTTGAGTGGTTTATTGTTCTGCAATCAGTCAGAGGACTAAACAATTAGCCCAATTCAACAAATATGTATCAACCATTCTTTGTTAAAGGAATCTGCAGTTTGATAGAGAAAAAGGACAATAAGCATTAACCACTGTGCAGGGCAGATTTTGACAATATCACCAAAGGAAAGTGACATGGGAATTCATAAAAGAAGGAGAATTTATATATTTGGGGAAATCAAGAAAAGAGTTCATATTGAGAACCATCTCTCCACTTGCTAGATAAGATGCTGTCCAATTCACGAATTGCTTATAAAGTCAATTATATCTCCCAGAAAAAAGTTTATACTGAATACATCATTGGAAATTAACCATAACAAGAAAAAGGTAATTTTAGTAGATGAAAAAGTGGTGTGGTATGATTGCATGTGCCTGTGTTAGAGAACAGGGGGGTAAATTCTGACTAAAGGAATGATATAAGCAAAAAGACAGAAATTATTTACATGGAAAAGAGGGCAGTTTAGTTTCCTGGAAGTGTAAAGTAAGTTGAAGCTGGAAGATGAGCTGCCCAGGGAGAAAATTCAGAGAGAAAGGGGCCAAGGAGAGAACTTGGATGAAGAAGGCAAAAAGAGGAAGAGAATCAAAAGGAAGATGTTCAAATTCTATTTCATTAATCAATTCACCCTTTCAACAAATATTTGCTGAATACCTGCTATGAGACAAGCACTGAAGTTATAGGTGACTAAATAGCTCCCACCTCCATGGAGCTTAGGGTCTAGGAGGAAACAAGATTGATTAAATAGGGATGCCTGGGTGGTTCAGTTGGTTAAGCGTCTGTCTTTGGCTCAGGTCATGATTCCAGGACCCTGGCGTCAGGCTCCCTGCTCAGTGGGGAGCCTGCTTCTCCCTCTCCCTCTGCAGTTCCCCTGGCTTGTGCTTGCTCTCTCTTTCTCTCTCTGTCAAATAAATAAATAAATAAATAAATAAATAAATAAATAAAATCTTAAAAAAAAACATTGATTAAATAATGGTGCAAATAGACACAGAAGTACAACTGGAATTAATGCTGCAAAATAGAGGAGCTGCTGGGAGAAAGATAGCTTAGGGTTGTTGAGGGAAGGGGAAGTCCTTAGAAGGGACGTTCTTTAAATATGTGCATGACATAAACATAATTGCATTTAGAAAAAAAAATCACCAGTGGCCCACTGTAGGGAATAGAGGAGAAAGGGCAAGCTGGGTGTGGGGAGGTGAGTTGTGATGCTGTTTCAGTATTCTGGGTGACAGATTAGAGTAGCTTGGCCTAGAGTTGTAGCTAAGAAGGTATAGAAAAGTGAACCAAAAGGGACCCTGTGTAAAGACTAAATGAATGTACTGGAGCAGCAATAACAAGACTTGTTGCCAGAGTTGATGGAGAGGTTGAGAGAAGGTCATCTCCTGGATAGATACATGGTTTGTGCAATTGATTGGGTGGTGGTTCCATTTTTAGAGACATGGCAATTGATGGAGAGACAGGTTTCGGGAGGGACATCATGAGTTCAATTTAGGAAATGCTGGGTTTGAGCCACCTTTGAGATTTCAAGTTGATGGTTTAATAGGCAGTTGGATACATGAAATTAAAGCTCACATGGTCTGGGATTAAGATATCAATATTCACATCTTTTATGTGAGAATATAATTAAACTATATAAATGAGATCACACAGGGAAAAGTTCATATAGAATGAGAAGAAAAGAGGGCTTAGAGCCACACCTTGAGAAATTCTAGTAACTAATAACTGGTTTAGAAGATAACGATGCTGTAATTCTCTTCAGGGAATTACTGAGCGTTAGAAGGAAAATTGGAAGAAGGTATCATCACAGATGACCAGAGAAGGCTGCTCAAGGAAAAGGGGGGGGGGGGGGCTTGTTCTGCTGAGAACCAAATAAGGTTTAGACTAGAACGCTTGTCAGATCAGCATGGGGCAAGAGTGGAGACTTCTTCAGGAAAACCCTCTCTTACCAACCCAAGCACAATTAAATACACCTTCATCTGGGTTTCCACTGAGGTCTGAGGTTCTTCTTTCACCTCCCTGCTATTTTTATTCAAAATTACAAAAGATGTGGCTTCTCCCTTCCTAGGGAAGGTAGGGGCTGTTTTACACAATTAGTTTCTCGGAAATTGAGTGGTTCTCTAAAAATGTGAAATGTGAAATATTGGTTGAATACATGAGTAAAACATAAAGAATAGTTAGAGGGGCAGAAAAAGTCAGAGAGGACAAGGAGTGGCAGGTCCCTTGGAGTGTAAGGATGACGAGGTCTAATCAATGCCACCTTCAACCACGTCATACATGTAAGAAGATTGAGCACTCAGGCTGTAACAAGGGTCCTCCCTCCAGAACACTCTGGTCAGGACTTATGTGCAGTTATTCAACTATTAATTGGCCTCCTTTTCTCTCTCTCTCTCTTTTTCTTTTTTTTACCCAGCCTACTCTGTATCTCTTTCTGTGATGTCTCGATCAGATGGCTTTGCTGAATGACATCATTGAGAGCTAGCAATCAGTCACCTTATCATTAGCTACTGAAAAAAGCAAAGGATCTGCCTAAATCTGAATGAAACTCCCCCTTGAAAGCAGTAGTAACTGAGTATTTAGCTAGATGAGCTAATAACCACATGCTGTACATTTATTTAAACTTTAGAAATAAAATGAATTACCTTTATCTCCTTCACTATCGAATGAGAATTTCCTTCTTCGTAGTTTACAGTTGTCTCCTTCAGAATCATTCACGGACTGTGATCGTAGTAAGAGATCAGCCTTTGTTAACGGACATGAAGATAAAATGGAAGATTACTCAATTTGAACATAATGTTATGTCAGTAAATTCCTTATTGTTTCATATCATTTCAAGCACTTTATTAGATTGCAGGAAAATAGCTACAATACTTTGCTTCCTGGTTGTCTCTAAATTATAAAACGGACTGATAGACTAATTCTAGTAGTTTCACCATCTGATGAGGAAATCATAGTTATAGAAGCTATTTATCAGAAATGTTTGAGGATAATGTCAACATTTAGAGACAACATAATCTTTCATGTGGAATGTAACTTGGTAAGGTTAAAAAAATAATAATTAAAAATATTGTTTTACTGTGGAGAAAAAAGTTAAAGTCAATTATAACTAGCTATGATGTTTAAATACATGGAAATGATTGCAAAGTTAAATTTTACAACAATAAATACAAGGTTAGATTCAATGAACACTATGCTTTAAGCATTTTATTATTTTGAGCTATTATTATATTCCCAGTCCCTCCTTCCTCCCCCTCTGGATAATATTATCATTCTTGTAATAAAAATGGATGCTCCCAAATAAATAAAACAAATGGAAGCTCCTATTTTTTGTATTTGGTTGCTACCTAAACTTTTGCTGTAAAGTTCTTGTTTTTCAAGGCAAAATCAGAATGAGGTTGGTGACACTAAACTGAAATCTTAAGAAAGTACTGAACTCATAAAAAAAAAACATATGCTCTTGATAACTTGACCCTCTTATCACCTAGATATTTCTCAACTTCTCAGTATTTTAAAAAGAAGCAATTATCTGAGCTGGTGCTTCGGGTATTAAACGGTACCCTGGTGATCTTACACATTTATCCTCTTTAAGTCTCTCATAGTAGCTGAGAATGACTGTAACTCTGGGAGAATTAAATCTACTACCTTTTACCTCACCATTGACTTGAGGATTTTTTTTTTCTAGAGAATATATTTGGACATTTGGAAGTGTCAAAAGCCCAACATTTGGTTTCTGACAAAAAGCTATTTAGAATCAGAGCTGGGGTAATGAGGTTTGGGGGGAAAGAAGGAGAAATAACTAGTAATAAACAAATTGCAGGCTGCAATTCTATATTCTTAGAGTAGTGACAAGCCATAAAAACACATTTTCATAGTAGAAGAGAGTGAGGGATACAAGGGCTACACTAATTTTGACTCAGGTTTAAGCCTGATTAATTTATACTCTGTGATTTGGAAATTGTGTCAAATATGGGCCTAAATTTGAATGAGTTTAATTTTTTTTTCATTATTATTGAAAAGACCTTGCTAACAAGTGTGTGGTATAAATAATATCTGGGAAAATATTTTTAACCCTGGTGTAAGATAAGCTTTTCAAATAGACTTTCAATAGCCTAGGATCACCCATTTCTTACAAAGAATTGATACACTCAGTATAAACTATGGCTATTTTAAATCCAGTGTGTCACCTAAGAGTTCCTGAAAGGTCAAATTTAGTTGACTTACTTAAAGTTATCCAGTTTATTTGAAAGTAATTAGACTGAATTCCTTCCGTGTAATTTAGAAATTCCAACATGAAGCTGGCTTTTCCTTCCAAGTGTTTAGAAATGGTAAAGTTTGGCTATATTTTGCTTGATCTTTCAGAAGTATTTTGGCAACCCAAGAATAAAGTGTCACAAGTACAAAAATAAGCAAACCATTAACATCTACCTTTGCACTCTCATGTCTTAGGTTAAAAGTCAACTCTAGGTTTGTGAGAAAGTGATCGGAAAACTCAGGATACATATCCAGAACTTCTAGCAAGTCTTCTCTCTGGATCTTATGCAAGTCACAGTATGTAAGAGCTCTCACATCTGCATTAGACTTCCCCGGTTTAGCATAAAGATGAACCATTTCTCCAAAGATATCGTTTTTTCCTAAAAAAATAATAATTAAAAAATTAAAAAGGTGGTAAAAGGAAGTTCAGACTTAATGTTTTCTTCCTAAAAGTACAAGGAGACCACTGACCAAGCCCTGGACCAAAGACTTCAAATGGAAGATCCCATGGCCAACAGACACTCGGGCAGCAAAATGATACTACCTCCTCCTGACTGCCTCAGTCATGTTTGTTTGCTGAGTGGAGTTTTACCTCTTAACATACTGGTCCTAGTATAATTCCTATTCTTTCCTTGTTTTGATTCTTTGGTTAAGTGTCTAGGGATGCCGCAAATATGACTTTTGTCTGCTCTGCCCTATAAGGCTAGAAAAGGGTCTTGCCACTTAGTCGGGGTGGTCTAATTTTGTCAATCCAGGAATATGAATCTGGCAGTGATCAGATTCACAAACTTTCTATCTCAGGATGGTCTTGGGGGGAGGGGGGTGATGCCAAGCATTGGGGTCTAGTGGAACGCTTTCAATACTAAGAGGACCAGTGTTGTAATTTGAACACATCTTGTTTCCTTTGGTAACCACTTTTGGATTTGGCCTTGATGAATTTGTCCAATTGTTTAATAAGTTTAGTTTTATTTATAGTCTTGCCTTTTTACCAAATGGACTTTATTCTAAAAGTGTGTCCTTCTTGCTTTCTTGCCAAACCTGGGATTATTTCAGTATCTGGCTTTCTGATGGGTCCTCCTCATCCCCTCTGCCTAGCCACATGCCACCTGCTCTTTCAGGCTTTGTTCAATAATGAGGATGATGTCAGCAACAACAAATGCTTATTGAGAATTAAGTAGGTGCCAGGCACTGTGTCAAATGCTTAGGTGAATTATCTCATTTAATCCCCAAAATAATCTCATAAAGAAATTACTGCTTATTACCTAAATATTATGACCAACGAAAGAAGATTAAAGAGGTAAACTGATTAGGTCAAGGTCACCTACTTTGTTGGGTGAAGGGTGGGAGAGAGTAGCCATGATTAAATCCCATGCATTCTGACTCCAGTCAAAATCATTTCACACTTGGTATGTTTGATCTTCTCCCAATATTTTACTAGAATGTCATGGCCACTTTGTTTTTTCTGTCTCTAAATGTCAAGACACTTAAAAATTATGCCTGTGGAATACATGCTTAATAATTACTGCTAAATTATTGATCATATAACTTTTAAAGACTGTCAATGGCAGTGTAAAATGGTACTTTCTTACATGTATCATGAAGCTTCTTTTCGGATTTAGAAAAAAACTTTCTGGATCTGTTAAGTTAGTTTTTGATAGTTTATATATACTCGATTATGGAAATTATCAAAGACTTTTAAGCTATAAAACTCTAATTGGTCAAAAATATCTTACTTTAAATGTGAATCAGAGAGAAATCAGAGAGCATATCTCCATGACAGAATTTGATATGGGCAAGACTATATTAACTTTGTTTTTAATAAATACTTCAAACCTGTAATGAACAATCATAATTTGTGAGGATTTTACATGGCAATGGGGACAGAAAAAGAGGATCTCTTGAAATTATACTTTTAATACTTTGGTTATGGATGTTGTCAAAGAAAAGCTCTCAACTAAATTCAGCATGAGCTTTGCGTTTTAATTAGTTTACATGACTGTAAATGAGCAAAAACTATACCAGTCAGTGTGTACTGCTTAACTACTCTAAAATTACTGTTTTATAAAGCGAGAAGGCTTGTTACCTCCCTGTAGAAGCTGGGGCAGGCAGATTCTAAGATCAGGAATGCAATGAAGCATGCTTCTTTTCTGGCAGCCTACAGAGCAAACTGTCAAGGCCAAACAGGGTGAAAGTCCAACTTTATTATGTAGCTGCTACCTGATGTATGTTTTTATTCTTTGCCTGCTTATTGAATCGTAAACCAAATTGTGCATCTTGTCAATCTGGGATTTAAAGAAAACTGTCACTATAATAAAATTATCAAAATATATAGGAATTACTCAAACTTCTTCATCCTGTGCTAGGCCATACTCTGGTTCTGCACAGCAGCAAAGAAAACAGACAACATCCTGGTCCTTTGGATGTTAAAATCAAGAATCTAGTGAAAGGAAATCATTGAATCACATGCTCATTATTTAAATGGACCTAGATTTAATCCACGGGACAAGAAGGGGGTGCATATGTTCACAAATACTGGGGGTAGGCGTTCCCATGGGGAACCTGGGGCTTAACCTTCCTGGCTAGGTGGTAGGGGAGGAAAACTGATATCCTTTCTCTCTGTTCCTTTCCTCTTTCTCACAGTTCTAATATTCAGAAGAAGTCCTATAAGTTCACACTGACTAAATTTGGTCTTGAAGAGACAGATTGGACAGATGGACTTTCTTTTGCACCCAAACCAGTTTAATTTACTAGTAATTTCAATCTCTTCACCACCTTTATCCCTGGGTGCTAAGTTCATAGCTCTCTATATTACTTAGGTAAGGTTTTATATAATTCCATCTGATGGGACATAGCAGGTAAAAGTGCAGAGCAAATAGATGAAATTTATCAACACATAAATGCAGTTCGTGACAGGGTATTCGTGCACGCTAGCGAGTATCTTACAATGTACACATTTTATTTAAGGTGTTAAGGGCACTAGCATGAATCCAAGGTTCTCCAACATGAAAAGCAAAATGTTGACTATTTTCATACATTTGGCCTCATATGCTTAAGTAGCTAACAAGAATTAAAGAGAGTCATGGAAATGTTTACACATCAGAGAAAAAGTGAGACAGTCAAGAAAACATACTTTCTGCGAGGTCAATTTGATTTGGATTGAATTTTAAATAAAGCTTTAAGATTATGGATCAGTCTTAAACAGTACTCATAGATGAATAGATCGGTCCTGTTTTCTATCATTTTAAACTACACATCGCAGCAGCTACTAACTCAGTTTGTCACCATCCAGTTCTGAAACACTCACCCAGAATAGCTACCACAATGTCATCTTTGAGGATTTCAATGGAGCCTCTGGATAGGAAATAAAGTGCAGTGAGGACATCCCCACAGTGAACCAGGGTGTCTCCTGGAGGTGCATGGGTTGTCTTGAACTTCATTGCCAAAGCTCTAAGGCAACCTTTACTCGCCCCCCGAAAGGCTTTGCAGTTTTGCAGCAAAGTCTGGTTGAGATGTAGACAAATGTCAGCTTGTAAACATTCTGGGAAGCCCTTTAGGACCTGAAGAAAAAAACATAAAGAGTTTCATACTACCAGTGCACAGGGTACATCCACCTGAGAAGTAAAGTCTATTTCTTGCTCACAGAGCTGCAGGTGTAGTCATTGTCACACGGGTTCTTACAACGCTTCTACCTCGCCTGCCTTACTGAATGCTTGGTGTGCTAAACATGTCAGAATTTTAACTCGAATACTTGTTCTCTGAATTAACTGCAGGCATTCAGACTCAACACAAGTGCCGTCTCATTAAAATGTAATGCCTATGTTTCACACTGCTTCTCATTCCCTGCATTATGTGAGGTAGTATCATACTGTGCACATAGATAATGCAATGTGACAATTAGTAAGACATAACTAATGAAAGGCGATGCAGCTCAAAAGACAACCTTTTAAAGGAATCTCAAGTCAGTTTGGATTGCTGTCTCTGGTACACTTCTTAATTGTAACTAGTGAAAATAGTGATCCTGAAAGAGCTATGGTATTTTTAGTGTCATATACCAGAGAGTGCTCTTAGGTAGCAGTACGTGGAATATTTATGTTTCATATGCATACAATTAATACTAAATATTTTGGTAAGCACTGAAAATAGAGAAAGGGAAGGAGAATGGCAACCATACTTGAAGTATAGTTATATTTTCGGAAACGGAAATTATGCAAAAGTTTACAGTGCAAATGTAAAGCTTCTAACACTACCGTTTTGACAACCTATTCAGTGACTAAATTAAATCTTGTAGAAGAGATTAAATAATAGCTTGTGACAAGTGCCATTCAATTTAAACTGTGTACAATTTTATATTATTTTATAAAATTCCCAGTATAGAATGGACCAAAGACACTCAACTCTTGCTTCTCTGTGTCCTAGCTTATTTTGGGTGTCATAGATAGTTTTAATTCTCATGTTGACTTTCCTCTGTCAGTAAAAATAAATCCACTTAAATGTGCTTTGGAGTATGGGGGAGAGGCTTAATAGTGTTATTTTAGGATTTCCTAACTTTGGGGTCAATCTTGCTATTGCTGTTCCATAGAGCTAAAAGTAATCATGAATTATTCATACAGAAAATTGAAATGTATATGGTCCACAGAAGGACTACAAATTAGACTATATTTGAGTTAACTTAAATTTATTTTTACCTTAAATGTTAAAGCAGTCACAAGTGTACTGTTTCTGTAGGTCCACTGTGTGATGTAGTTGGTCGGACTGGCCATGGTATCATACAAACAGATCAATGAGAGATCTAAAACATTACAGCCACTAACTCAAATCTTGTTTCCTTTGTATAGTCACTTACAGAAATGGGTCAAGGGTGTGTTAGAAGAAAACCCACAGAATATGAGTTCTGGTCTTGAATTTGCCACAGGTTGACACTTGTGCAAGTCACTTCATCTATCTGTGTTTCTTTGCCAGAGAATAAGAGCTTTTTTGATTTTGAAATTTGTTATAAGTTACCAGTAAATAGTGGGCCAATTTCTAGACACTGCTTACCCAGCTCCACATGGCTGTAGGAACCCAGACATTTATCCTGAAGTTTCTATGTTACCTGGCTCAGACCCCAAAGAAATGAGCCTTCCTCTTATCTGAATTCCTGGGCACTCTTCTGAAACCTCTGTCCTTAATTCCATTGTTCAGACGTTGTCTACATGACTGGACTCCTACCAGATTTCCTGCTTGGACTGAAACCCTCGCCAAAACGATAACTTGCCTAGTCTTTGCCCATTTCTGCTTTTTGGGGGCTAGAGGCTCTCTCCACTCTTTGTCATATCCTAACAACTCAGCTCCTCTCATAAAACCAGCCCTCTGGGAGATCGCTGATTCCTTCTACTGGTCTAAACGATCACATGGAATTTTGGCAAGTGATGCTAGACTAGAGTTAAGTATAGTTTACACAGTGTTTTCTGAAATGGGGCTACTTTATTTAAGGATGCTATAGTAGGAAAATCCCAGTTCACTGTCTTCCTGCATATGATTTCCTTTTCCTCCTGAAGCCCACTGTTGTGGGCTTCTCAGATGTTCCCATACAGATAAAAACATAAAGAGTATCATGCCAAGTAACAAGGTAACATGTCTATTTTTCTTCTAAGATTTGGCTATAAAAATCTACAAAAAGACATTTATATTTCACATAAATGGGGAAGTAGCACTTTTCCTATAATAGTTTGGATGAGATTATTGAGCTTGTAACTGCTATTACTGGCATTTTCCTGTGTTATACTTCCTGAGTATAGCCTGCTTATGAAAGGAAAAATTGTGCATGTGTGTGCGTGTGCGTGCTTTGAATTAGAAGGTGCAGATGAGCTAGAGGTAGGGGTTACTCATTTCTCTGAGTATGTTAGATGAGCTATGGAATTAGGTATCATTTGAAGTTCTAGTTCTGACACTAGTTGTGAATTGGTTAATTCAGTTAACTTTTCTTGAGATTCAGTTTTTTCAACTGTAAAAATAATTAGTAATACCTACTTCATAGGATTGTGCCCACAATTAAATGTGATCATGTATGTAAATTATCCCATCCATTTTGTGGGACAGTTTATTCTTGACTCTTTCTTTCTTTCTTTCTTTCTTCTTTCTTTCTTTCTTTCTTTCTTTCTTTCTTTCTTTCTTTCTTTCTTTCTTTCTTTCTTTCTTTCCTTTCTTTCTTTTTCTTTCTTTCTTTTTCTTTCCTTTCTTTCTTCTTCTTTCTTTCTTTCTTTCTTTCTTTCTTTCTTTCTTTCTTTCTTTCTTTCTTTCTTTCTTTCTTTCTTTCTTTCTCTCTCTCTCTCTCTCTCTCTCTCTCTCTCTCTCCCTCTTTCTTTCTTTCATGTCACACACATTGCTCCTAAAGAACAGGTAAATTCTCTTTAGCTAAATATTGAGAAATATAACACCCATTGAATTCTTCCTGGTTTCTTTGGTGAATAAGAAATTCACCACTAAGTTTTGTGTTCCATTGCTTCAACAGTTTAAGGTTTTTTATTCTTCTCCTCTCTCTAACTTTTGTTTCCTGTTTCTGACTTGTGTTAAATGTTTTGGCTTCCTTGCACTTAGGTTTTCACTGTGACTTGTCTTAAATGCTTTTTGTAAGTAGGCAGTTACTAAATCAATACAAATGTGTTCTTGGAATGCCAATATTCTTAGAATCACTCACAAAGTCATACAAAGTATTTGGGAAAGTTGAAAGTTTTTCAACACTATTCTCTTCTCAAATGTCCTTGTTTTTGTTTTGTTTTGTTTTTGTTTTTTTAATAATAATTTTTTATTGGTGTTCAATTTGCCAACATACAGAATAACACCCAGTGCTCATCCCATCAAGTGCCCCCCTCAGTGCCCGTCCTTGTTAAGTGTCATTTCCTTGCATTTATCCTGTCAGATGTGACACCCATTGGAAAGAATGGCCTCAAGTTGGAGGTAGCACAGAGTTTCACGGAGAAGGTTTTGCTTGCTCAGGGAAAAGGCATGCACACGTTGGCATGAAGGACTTATCTGGATTAAGGAATTCTCCGGTGGTGTTAGCCTTTCACTAACTTTCTTAATTTTCTTAAGTTAGTTACATAGATCACTTAAGTAAAAGTCAATAGAAGTTAATATTTAGTGATTGAATCTCTTACTAGCCCAGAGGTTTAAATGTCTCACATAAGTTAGCAGCTTTGGAATCTGGGGTATGCCTAAGAAATGGGACTTTAAAAGCAGAGTTAAAAGAGAGAGCTTATAGAGAAATAGAGTAGGAAAAGACTGAGGATAATGGGGGTAGATTTAAGTAGTATTCATCCTAGACTCCCATTACTATTGGTCTCAGCTGTGTTGCCTTCCTTACTTCCTATTCATTATACTTTTTTTTTCATCAGGTTTGATTCCTCTGCTAAACCACTTAACATGAAACTTCCTCACTTAACACTCAAATATTAGCATTTTTATCAGGCCTAGCAGATCTGGTTGTACAGAGAAGGTATGCCAAGCACACAGGTATCAAGATGCAATCTGGTTTAGTGATTGTTATAATTACTTCCACTACACTATACACAACCTTCTTGTCTGTCAAGTTCTGAAGCTCTGAGGGTACACAGCACTTGACACTGTACCTCGAGCCATTATTTATTGAGTTGATTTGATTTCATAGAGCAAGTAGCATGATCCAGAATCAGGCTCATGGTCTGCAGCTTGAAAAAATCGTTCTCTTCTTTTAGAAAATATGTAATAAGTATCTACTCTATACCGAGCACTTGATTAGGCATGGAAGCATTACGATAGGGAAAAAAAAACAAAACATGTTCTGAGCATATACCTGGCCCTTAAGCCTTTCTCTAAATGCCCAGATTTATATATGTAAATATGTAATCTGATATATATATATATATATATATATATATATATATATAGTCAAAATTTCCCACACTTCACTTTGCATGGAAGTTTATAGCATACGTTTGGACATTTATAATACTAATGGTTGTTCAAATCAACCTTCAATATACAGTTAATTTAAGGTGAGTGAAAAGCTCCAATTTAACTTTTCTAATATTTGCAGTTATGGGGCATTTTAAAAACTTCCTGATGTTCCAGAAAATGTTTTCAAGGCTGATAAAAAAAATCCCATGTCTTTATTATGGTATAATGTTATTTGGATATTTTATAAATCTAAGGTTAACTTTCTTTCACTCAACTTTATGTGAATAAAACTCTCTGCAATCCTCAACTTACATTAAGCCAAATGAGACATTCATTATTGTAAGTGAGTTTGAAATGCCTTCTGTGACTACTAAAAGGAATCAACCCCATAGCTTAGAACCAAAGGACATTGGCTTAAGGACATTCAAAAAACAATGGCCCAACAACTACACAAGAAGATAGTATTATTAAATCAAACTAAAACTCTTTGAAGAAATCATAGAAAGAGAGAGAGAAAACTGAAATAATTATCCATTGGTAACACCTATAAGACATGATCAGATGTTAATTCAGAAGTATTTAACTTTATACTAACCTTCCCTCAAATATGTATGTACTGACACACATGTAGTGGAATAAATAC